GCTTCCCGTCGAAGAAATATTGGCAGCGGCAAAATTGGCCTGTTTGGATGTACGCTCATATCCCAAAGATTGCCCAGCGCCAAGTCTCGTTTGTTCCCACTTGTCACGCTTCAACTCCTCAGCATCGGTTAGCCCTCTGCGGGCTTTGTTACATCCGTCTTCCGGTCCTCGACAATTCTTGGGGTCTCGGGAGTATGCGTAACACGGAATGGTACTGTCTTTCCCACGTGACTGACTTATATTATTCTGCTGTCCTCCTTTCCCACGGTTGCCAGTCGGGGTCTGGGATCGGCCCTGCCCCTTTCGGCCCCTGTCCTTCGATCTCCCTCTAGGGTTCTTATCCTGGGCAGGAGCGGCACTGGACTTTCGTCCCGCACTCGGCTGAGCCGGCGCGGCATTCTTGGGCTTCTTAAGATTGAAAGGACAGCCCTTTCCTGCGCACGGGCAAGTTCCGCCCTTGTTCACGTATCTGCACGTGGTTTTGCCCTTAGTCTTCCCGCTTTTCATGACATCTGAGGGTTTCCCCAACTTAGCAGCAATCTCTGCCGGGGCGGCTTTACTGCCTGTATTCCTCCGGTTGTCATTGCCTCCGCCTCCGCCGAATCGTGCTTGCCTAGCACGTTGGTTCAAGGTGCCCTCATGCACGCCGATATTCCACTCTTCTTTTTCTCGCAACATCATTTCTTCAATCTGCTCCATTAGCCATTCATAAGTCTTTACGCCATGTCCCATTTTATCTTCTGACAAGTCGTATAATTGGCATAAAGTTCAGTTTGCTCAGTTTCCTGCATTGTTCGAGAAAGTGTGCATGAATCGAGGCCCTCATCTCATCGGACGGAGGCTTTGCGCCATAAAGCTGCTGGTAATCGTCTGTCCATTCATTGTAGAAATGATACAGATCAGCATCAGGCTTGCGCGGGTCAATGTTCACCTTGAAGGGGTCACGTGAAATGCGACGTTGTCCCAACTCCGATCTTACCTCACACCAGTGACAAATTGCCCGCACCATCTCGCGCCCAGTCATGAGCCCCCCCTCGGTCTGGGCGCTCAATTTCACACGAGTAATCTGTTGGAGGAAATGGGTATGATGACCAGGCTGATATCGACTCTTTCGCATATTGTTGAATTTTTCGATAAGATTCGTTGCGATCATGAGGTCGAGACGCTGAAATCGCCCTGCATCTTTGAGTTGCTCATCCTCCACAGCTGGATCCATAGCCTCAGCAATCCAGTGCTGTGCTGCCTGGCTCTCGGGTGATGATCCAGCGATTGCGCGTATTGCGTGCATCTTCCACTCACGAATGTTCGTTACATCAGGGATGTCCAACAAATCAATTTTCTGGTTGCTACCAACCTGTCTCCACTGATCCGACGGCGTGCTTTCGTCAATTACTACCGAGTCGTGCGGTCCGCCGGGGCCCTGGGGCCCCCTGCGTCCACCCCCGCCCTCAATGGGGTCTGACCCCCCTGGGCTTCCCGGGGGCGACCCACGTGGTCCTCTACCACGATCATCTTCATGCGAAGATACGATCTCAGTGTTAGGAGCGTCGCTCTCGTCGTCTCCTTCTCCGCCCTGCCCTGCTTCGCCGACGACTTAGTCGCCGTCATTCCCGTGGGACCATCTCCATAGGATGGGCGGAGACTGGCGAGAGTGTTATCTTCGTTAGGTCCAGTTAGCTTCACCCCTACAGGAAGTCCATTCTCGGCGGCACTCGGCTTCGCCGGACCTTCTAGGGCAGGGCCTGGCACAGTAAAATGTTGACGCAACAGCGGCCTCACCAGAGTTTCTTGCGAAAGCAGCGGAAATCCGAACGTATTCGATGTGAATCCGGCTTCTCGTTTAGTTTCAGTATACGGAGTCGGGTCGGTGATGATAGCCTTAAGCCTCATCTTCCCTTTCTCTGCATTAGCTGCGTTCGAAGCAATCTCTTCTTCTCGCAAGTTGGCAGCTGACCTTTCACTCTTCCACAGGTCGCATCCAGAGCATCTCCTAGTACTCGCATCGACACGTTCTTCACACGCCGATCTATCACATCCGACGCAATTGTCCGTCTTTAGACGAAAACAAACGGCACAGAATTGATCCACGGAGAGTGTGCTTCCTCTCCCCTCGGGAGGAGGACGCATTGCACCTCCTACCAGCATGGTCGATGCCCCCGCATTTGCCAAGGTCATCTGATCAAATTGCGTAGGGACGGATACAATGCCCGACGACTGGGCCGTCGACAACTGGTGCATGTTCGATCCGGTCGGCTTAGCTGGCGGGCATTTAGCATTGCTCGACGTTACGCGCTGGAGGGGCGATCTAGCTTCCTCATGCGATTTAAGCTCTTCCAGATAGAGATTGTTCTGGTTGGTCATCTTCGCAGCTACGGCTTGGGCGTTGGCTGCTTCCAGCCTGGCTGTCTTGAGCTCTTCTTGTAAGCCCTGTTTTTCTCGCTCCGCCATGACTGTCGCGATTTGTTCTCCTTCTGTCCTGGCCACCGCGACGGCAGCGGCAACTGCATTGGCGTCAGCAGATTCTGTATTTGCCACCATGACGGCCTGTCTCTCCGAAGTCAATAATTCCCTGTATTTATTTTCGGCTTCCCGCTCCACTTGCCATTTAACGGCCTCGGTCTGATTGTACACATGGTCGATCAGCGCCTGTTCACGCTCTCTAGCAGCCATGGCTAGGGCGATCCGCTCAGCCTCGAACGTTTTTCTAGCTTCGATTACAGTTTCAGTTAATTCTTCTCTGTCCAATCGAGCTCTTTCGGCCAGTTGCGCTTCATTGGTCAGAAACTCCCTCTGAGTGTTAGCCTCCGCTAGCCTGGCCTGGTCCTGAATAGACTGCATGAGGAGATATGTGCAGTTATGCTCGCCCATTGGTAAAACTCCGCGCACAGCCATTGCATGTTACACTTGTTGCAAACATCCGAGCACTTATTGCACACTGGGTTCCTACATGCGCCTTCTGGCCTGTTGGCTTTTCCTGGGCATCTGCTCTCCGCCTGAGGCGCGCAGTCAGGGTTGGGGTTCCAACATGCCTCCATCATAGAAACCGCACTATTGCTCCTTGAAGTAGATCTCGCTCCTGATCTTGGTATCTTTGGCCTTCCCCTGCTTGGGGCAGTTGATCTGGGGCGAAGGAAGGTACTTTTTGGTGGTTTGGGCGCGTTTAAGAATTCCTCATCCTTTTCGTCTCGTGTTATTAGCTGAGCACACGTAGCTGGTTGTCCGACCATTTCTTCATCTTCAACAACAGCTGGAATCGAGGGTCGCCACTCACCTGAGGCGGTGGCATTACGGAAGAAACCTTCCTTCAGTGGCGAGACGTTTAGCTCGTAGTCCTCATTCCGTTGCTTCTTGAGGTGAGGCGCGGGGGTTCGTCCTGTAGACTCCCTCTCATGCTTCATCTGAGCCCCCGCCCTGCCCGCCTGAGGCGTCAGAATACGAGTGTCTTCATCGGATCCATCTGGAGACCATCTTTCGTCTTGAGCAGGGATGTCTTCTTCCAACATCACGGACAAAGCTCGGATCAAGGAAATATCATGATTGATGCTATCAAAATCTTCCTCAGTCCTTTTTCAATCGGGCCATCACTGTCCTGACCGAATTGTCCGTTAAGTGCTATCGGGGTTGGGGCGTTGACACTCGTGCCCACCCACTCGGTCGGGATATCAGGGTACGTATTCATCTTCCTTTGAACTTCCCCTGGCCGGCCGGCTTCACCAGCGGCAATGGCAGTAGCGTGTGGAGTATTCGGAATTGAGCTTATTGACTCCGTCGATTTGGCACCCCATGATGAATACGCACTTTGTCTGGGTCTTGGTGTGACGCCATCTCGCCCGTGCGGGCCCGGGGTTCGCTCACGATTACCTATCGGAGCTCTCACGGGGGATACGTCTACCGACATTTCGGCTATCTCCTCGGTATTTCTTCCCCTTACTACCCGAGTGGCGATGTCTGAAGGAGGGATTCGGCCCCGAACTGGGCCGTCACTGTCTGTGTCGTGTCCATCATGTTGTACAACGCGCCTGTCGGCGCTCCTCGAGATATTGGACACGATATCAGTCTTATCATAACTCTTTCCCGCAACGACTGAGTCGCGGGGTGCAGCTGGAAGATCTTCTTTTGTATCTAATGGCCCCGCGTCGACTAAGTCGCGCGTTTCGGCTGATAACCAATCTTTCCTCTGAGAATCGGGGTAAGATGACAAAGGAATTAAGATCTCATGTTCACTCTGCTCAGGGAGAGAGGGGACGGGATGAGACATTGATAAGACAAGTATCCGCTAAGCAAGACTACTCGATAAGGAATGTGAAGGGAGGAGGTCGGCCGAGGACGGACGACGACGAGCCGCCCGCGCGCCCCAGCGCACTCCTCTTCTCTCCTGCCAGCCGAGGCCGGCTGGCTCGAGCAGTCATACGGCTGCGGAAACGCAGCATCAGTTCCAGCGGACAGTGCAATGCATGCAAACTAAGTTAAGTTCTAATTGAATATGAGGCGGAGAGGAGCATATTTACTGAATGCTGAGGAGGGCGAGGGGTGAGGAGGAGGAGGAGGAGGAGGAAGAGGATGAGGAGGAGGAGGACGAGAGGGCGGGGTCGACCGTGCCCCCCCCATGTCTGGTATGTGGTTGTGGTCGTCCGTACGTCCCCTTCCCTCCTGGTCTCCATCCTCCATTATTGCGGCCCCAACTCCCCCAGTTCAGCATTCGTGTAATGAGAAGCGCTGCAAGCTTTCGCGCTCACTGGATGGCCTCATCAGAGTCACTCTGGAAACCCAGCCACAAAACCCGATTCACAGGCGAGAGGCCCAAGTATCTCTGGCCTCGATACCATCCCCTCGAACGCCCTGGATCTCACGTTCCCCCAGCTCGACTCCATCCCCACACGGTACTGCGCCCCCCTTACTTCCCTTCCCTTTGCTACCTTCTACTATAAACTTGTTCGCCTTCTCGTTTCTCCTCCGTTCCCTGAACTGCATTCCGCCTTGCGTCGTGCTGGGGCCCAGGCTCGCTGGACAAGAAGCCACGCATCCGCTCCGTCAGCTGCTCCAGACGCCTCGCGGCAGCTGCGCGAAATGAGAGACAAAAAATGGTTGGTGCGTCATGGTCAACGCCGAGTTGGAGGGGACCTGGGATGGGCCTAGCGCCCGAAGTGGGATCAAGAAGCACACAAGAATACAGGAGTGGTGGGTGGCAGCAGAAGCAGAGGCAGAGGAAGGCGAGAGGAGAACGACCAGGAGAACGACGACGACCACGACGGCAACGAAGCCGACGACCACGACGACGACGACGACGACGGCGACGACGACAACGACGATGACTGCGAAGATTGGGATCGAGAGCGCATGGTAGGAGTGACGGTGGGAACTGGAGCTGGGAGCTCCGCTCATGCTGGTCTTGTGCTTCGGCATGACATGCGTGAGAGTGACCAGGGCTGTTGTCACTGCAAGCCCTGAGAACCTCCGTCCTCCGATCGGTACTGCTTGGCATGTGTGGACATGGCTCCTCATATCTGCCTGTGATTCACATCGCGCATTGTCTGCGCAACCTTGCTCTGCACGCTCCTCGACAGAAAAGCAGAAGCTGCTGGGCCAGGTGTCTGGGGGGGAGGCAGGCGGCAGCGATGTGGCAAGCGAGATTGCAGGGGGGCAGAATCTAAGACTACAACACGGCGAGGAGAGTTCGGATCCAAGGGATCAGGAATCTTGAACTCGACAGGAAAGACCGCTTAAATTGCCCCACGCAATATGGCTCAACCGAAGGAAGAGAGGGTGATGCACGCATTGCTGTTCGGCGGAAGTGGTTGCAGCGACTAGTGCCTGAGTCTCAATGCGATAACACCACGGTGTAAACGGCCGCTATAAGAGCAAGTGTGTATCTGTATATATATATATATATATATATACTGGAACCATCGCGCGCGCTTCGCGCGCGCCCAGGTTCTAGCAGGCCCCAGACCTTGACGAATCCATTGCTCCACCGAAGTAGTGGACCACAGTCCACACATGCCAATCTGCATTCCGAAAGGCCTTCGAGGAAAATGGTTGTGTAGGGGGGCGGAGGCCGTATGAATCGGGTTCTCAAAAGGCCTTCTGGGAGCATGGGTTTAGGGGCGTCTTGGGGAGCCTGTTGGGGCGTGCCGTCGTCGTCGTCGTCGTAATGTCGTGGTCGCCTATTGGGGCGCGCCGTCGTCGTCGTCGTCGTCGTCGTCGTCGTCGTCGTCGTCGTCGTCGTCGTCGTCGTCGTCGTCGTCGTCGTCGTCGTCGTCGTCGTCGTCGTCGTCGTCAGCGTCAGCGTCGTCGTCGTCGTCGTCAGCAGCGTCAGCGTCGTTTCGTCGTCGTCGTCGTCGTCGTCTTCGTCGTTTCGTCGTCGTCGTCGTCATCGGTTCAAGAGGGCACTTGGGGCAACTTTGTGCGAAACGATCTGCGGAGGGCCGCGAGAAGGCGATCAGTCATGTTCCCAATCAACTTCCCAGACAGGTCTCCTGTAGCATGATGGTACTTCGAAGCCTCCAGAGACTCGCGGGCCCATGATGAACCATGTCCCCGGAAGGCTTTCTGGGGACATGGTTTGTTCGGGTGTGTTGGGGGGTCTCTTGGGCGTTCCCTGGGGGCCCCTTGGGGGCCTCCGGGAACTCTCGGGCCCATGATGAACCATGTCCCCGGAAGGTTTTCTGAAGACATTATTTCTTGGGGTGTGTTCGGGGGCCTCTTGGGCGTTCCCTGGGAGCCCCTTGGGGGTCTCTTGGGGCTTCCTGGGGGCCTCTTACGCGCCTCACGGGGCTTCGTGGGAGCCTTTTGGTGGCCTCTGGGGGCCTACAGGCGGCCTTAAGGGACAGAGACCTCCAAATATCGGTTGGCGGTCCCCCTCTGGGCCCTCTCTTGGGGAGCTCTTGGGGCACACTTGGGTTGTCTGGGGAGCCTCCTGGGCCGTCTTGGGGCCCTCTTCCGAGGGCCTCGTGGCCCGTCTTGGAGCGATCTGAAGGGGCTCCGAGCGAGGCCGTGAGGGAGCGCTGGGAAACGGGGGAAGCGAGAACGCATAAATCCTTCAAAAACAATTGGAAAATTATTGAATCTGGCCTTCCAGGGCCCTCTTGGGGAGCCTCTTGAGTCCGTCCTGGAGCGTGTTGGAGTCCTCGTCGGCCGTCTTGAGGGCATCTTGGGCGTCTTCGGGGCCTCTTGGGACCGTCTAGGGCCCTCTCGGGACCTCCATTAGCCTGTCGTGGCCTGCTTCGGGGCGGGCCCAGGCCGCCTCGGGACCCCTCTGGGTCTTCTCTTGGCGCGCTCTTGGGGCACACTTGGGTTGTCTGGGGAGCATCCCGGGCCGTCTTGGGGCCCTCTTCCGGGCCTCGTGGGCCTTGGAACAATCTGAAGGGCCTCCGAGGCCGTGAGGGAGCGCTGGAAAGCGGAAAAAGCTAGAACGCCCAAATCCAAAACACTCGGAAAACCAGCGAATCTTGCCTTCCAGGGCCCTCTTGGGGAGCCTCTCGAGTCCGTCCTGGAGTGTGTTGGAGTCCTCGTCGGCTGTCTTGAGGGCATCTTGGGCGTCTTCGGGGCCTCGTGGGACCGTCTTGGGCCCTCTCGGGACCCCCTTAGCCTGTCGTGGCCTGCTTCGGGGCGGGCTCGGGCCGCCTCGGGAGCATGGACCCCCCCCGCAACCCCCGGTGGGGGGCACCGATGGGGGGAACAGGCAGCGGCCCGCCCCCCCCCCGGGCCTACTCCGAGATAGAGAATCATGTTCCCGGGAAGCTTTCTGGGAGCATGATTTGTTCGGCTCTCTAAGAGGGGGGCCTCTGGGGGCTTACCGAGGGGCGCCTTGGCCTTGTCGGCGAGCCTATTGGAAACATGGTTGGGGCGGTGGGCGGAAGCCCAAGGAATCATGTTCCCCGAAAGCTCTGGGAAATACGATTTACCGAAGTGTCTTTGGGGCCCGCAGGGGGCTTCCCTGGGGGCCACTTGGGGGCCTATTAGGGCTTCCGGGGGGGCCTCTTGGGAGCCTCACGGGGCTTCTTAGGAGCCTCTTGATGGCCTCCGGGGGCGTCCTAGGAGCCTCTCAGGCCGGAGACCTTGAAATGTCGCGCTCTTCGGGCCCTCTTGGGTCGCTCTTGGGGCTCTCTTCGGGAGCTCTCGAGGCCCTCTTGACTTATCAGGGGGGCCTCCTGGGCCGTCTCTGGGCCTTCTTGGGAGCCTCTTCGGCCGTCTTGGAGCGATCTGAAAGGGCCTCTGACGCGGTCCGGGACCGTGGGGAGGCGGAACATGGGGAGAGCGCAAGCATGCTTCAAAAATGCATGATTTTCTGTTTCTGGTGCCCTTTGGAGGGGCCTCTGGAGGCGCTCTTGGGGCGTTTTGGCGGCGTCGTCGGCCGTCCTGAGGCCATTTTCGGCGTGTCCGGGGCCTCTGGGGGCTGTCTTTGGGCGGCCTGGGAACCCGGAAATCATGTTCCCGGAGAGGCTTCTGGGAACATGACTTCGAACGAGGCCCTCTTGGGCCTCCTGGAGGCCGTCTTGGGGGCCTCCTGGGCCGGCTTTGGGGCCTCTTGGGCCGTCTTGGGGGGTTCCGTGAGCCCCACGGGGCGACCCTTTTGGGCCGTCTTGTGCCCTCTTGGGTCTCTCTTGGGCTGTGCTGGGGCTCCTCAAACGCGTCTGGGGCACTGCGTAGACGAAGCAAGGGAATATGCTGAAAATGTACGTTTTACTACTGGGACGGGCTGATTTTTGCCTCTTGAAGGCCCTCTTGGGGCCCTCTTCGGCCATCTTGAAGCCATCTCGGGCCCTCTTGGGCCTCGCTGAGGCTGTCCTGGGGCCAGGCCCTGGGAACCCGGAAATCATGTTCCCGGAGAGGTTTCCGGGAACATGACTTCGAACGGGGCCCTCTTGGGCCTCCCAGGCCGTCTTGGGGGCCTCCTGGGCCGGCTTCGGGGCCTCTTGGGCCGTCTTGGGGGTTCCGTGAGCCCCACAGGCCGATCCTTTTGGGCCATCTGGGGCCCTCTTGGGTCTCTCTTGGGCTGTGTTGGGGCTCCGCGGGGGCGTCTGGGGCACTGTGTAGACGAAGCAAGGGAGTATGCTACAGGAACGGGCTGATTTTTGCCTCTTGAAAGCCCTTTTGGGGCCCTCTTCGGCCATCTTGAAGCCATCTCGGGCCCTATGGGGCCTCGCTGAGGCTGTCTTGTGGACCTCTTGGGCGTCCTGGGAACCCGGAAGTCATGTTCCCGGAGAGCGGAGAGGCTTCGGGGAACATGATGTCGAACGAGGCCCGCTTGGGCCTCCCTGAGGCCGGGGGCATTCTGGGCCAGCTTCGGGGCCTCTTGGGTCGTCTTGGGGGGTTCCGTTCAAGCCATCTCGGGCGCTCTTGGGGCCCTCTTGGGCCTCGCTGAGGCTGTCATGTGGCCCTCTAGGGGGCCCTGGGAACCCGGAAATCATGTTCCCGGAGAGGCTTCCGGGAACATGACTTCGAACGGGGCCCTCTTGGGCCTCCCTGAGGCCGTATTGGGGGCCACCTGGGCCGGCTTCGAGGCCTCTTGGGCCGCCTCAGGGGTTCCATGAGCCCCACAGGCCGACCCTTTTGGGCCGTCTGGGGCCCTCTTGGGTCTCACTTGGGCTGTGTTGGGGCTCCGCGGGGGCGTCTGGGGCACTGTGAAGACGAAGCCAGCGAGTATGCTGAAATTGTACGTTTTACGGAATGAATGGGCCGATTTTTGCCTCTTGAAGGCCCTCTTGGGGCCCTCGTCGGCCATCTTGAAACCATCTCGGGCCCTCTTGGGGCGCTCTTGGGCGTCTTCGGGGCCTCTTCAGGCTTGCTTGACCATCTCTACGGCCCGCGTGGCCTGTCGTGGGCAAATTGGAAGCGGCCCAGGGCAGTCCCGGGGGGTCTGTGACCCCCCTAAGGTTCGGGGGGGCGGCCATGTGGGATGACGGCACCGATTTTGGCCCCCCCCCCCGGCCTACTCAGATACGCCTCCAAGGCCCGGGACGCCAAAACCCTGTAAAAACACAAGGAAAATGAGCCCTGGTACTCCCATGGAGGGTCGAGGCGGCTGTTTTCGGGCCCCGGGGCTGCCCCCCCGGGATATATATATATATATATATATATATATATATATACATCTATATATATATGTGTGTGTAAATACACATGCAAACATACATACATACATACATACATACATACATACATACATACATACATACATACGTACATGCATACATGCATACATACATACATACATACATACATACATACATACATGCATGCATACATACATACATACATGCATGCATGCATACATACATACATGCATACATATATACATACATACACACACACATACGTACATACATACATACATACATACATACATACATACATACATACATACATACATACATGCATGCATGCATGCATGCATGCATGCATACATACGTATATAGCGATAGGACCACCTACGGGAGATAAGGAGGTTTGGGGAGAAGGGGGAGGCGGTCGATGTGCGATGGTTCTGGGCTATTTGGTGGCTTCTTCATTCTTTATTGCCGCGCACATCTGCCCATCGATCTATCGACCTATATATCGAGTTATCGGTTCAGGACAACGATAGATATCTGTATATGTATATACATACATACATACATACATACATACATACATATATATATGTATCAGTCCATCCGCCAACCAATGACTCAAGCAATCAATAGCTTAATCAATAGATCTATATAGAGAGAGACATAGCTATACATATGTGTATTTCTTTCGGTCGCTCTATAAGGATATCCAACTCTATATATATAAATATGGATATGTACACAAATATCGATTATCTACATATGTATATATATATGGACGCGTGTGTCTATATCTCTATCTAAATGTATATATGAATACATACACACATGCATACATGTATCTATCTAGCGATCGATCTATATGTCAACCATCGGGACAACCATCGGGACAACAATCGGGACAAGCATCGGGACACATATCGGGGCAACTATCGGGACAACCATCGGGACAACCATCGGGACAACCATCGGGACAACCATCGAGACAACCATCGGGACAACCATCGGGACAACCATCGGGACAACCATCGGGACAACCATCGGGACAACCATCGGGACAACCATCGGGGCAACCATGGGGACAACCATCGGGACAACCAAGGGCCACGCCTGGCGCTCGGGGGGCGGCCCTTTTGGCAATAGATGGCCTCTACTACGGATGGAACTCCAGCAGCTTCGCCTCGCCCGCACGCACGACACGAACCGAAACCGAAACCGATCTCCCAGTTGTGGTCACTTCCGTTCCAACCCCCCAACCTTTGATACATAGCAGTGGTCGTGCTTACCCTGCGCACGACCCATCGCTGCAAGAGATGGCTGACGGCGCGACACGATGTCGAAGCAGGTGAGCACCGTCCTGATTGAGCTACATCATGAGAAAGAGAAAAAACTGCATGAACATAAACTTCTGGAGGTCGGCGCGAGTTTATTGGATCGGCGCTGGACCCTCCTCCCTGTCGCGCGGAACGCTCAACAGGCGGCGCCAGAGGCGCCGCCAGAGCGGCCTTGCGCCGATGCAAGAAAATCCGCGCGGAGCTCCGAAAGTCTATGCTTATGCCATTTGCTCTTATTCCGATCTTTTCCTGGAGAGCCGAGCGCCTCCCGCCCAGCGGTGCCGAGGCCGCCCCGCTCGAGCCGGCGTGGGCGGCCATAGTGGCCCGCCCGCCGCTGCAAGCCCCGAGCGTAGCCGGCTCCAGAGGCCACCCTGAACAGTCGGCTGCCACGTGCAGGTGGTCGGCCGTGCAGCCCCATGGACCAGGGGAGGGGGCGCCAGGAGCAGCCAGGACGGTTCGACGCTCGTTCTAGGGACCCTACTGGCGACACTCGCTCCACTCATGCGTCGATGCTGCGTCGAACGTCCGTCGATTTGAGTCGAACTTGAGTTGGCCTTGAGTCGAGCTTGAGTCGAGCTAGAGTTGAACGAAAGTCGAAACCAATTCGAACTAGAGTCGAACAGATGCGTTAGGTGGTCCCAAAGTCCCCACAACGAGCATCTAAGAACGGGGACCCCTGGAGGCCCAAAAAATATCTGTCGAAAGGCCCAACCATATGCAAGTGTGAATACCGCAAAGCAGGTGGGACGCAAGAGGGGGCAGCTCCCAATGGGGCCACGAAACGTGTGAGGGTGTGCCGACATGGGCGGGGGAACGCATGCGAACGCAGCCACTGGGGCCTTCGGCGGAGCTCCCTCTGGGGCCATAAGGCTGGTGAGAGGTGCGCCGAACTGGGTGCGGTGCCGCAATGCGGGCCCTGCCGCTGGGCCTTCGGTGGAGCTCCCCATGGCCCACGAAACGTGTAATGGGTGTGCGGATGAGGGCCGTGCCGAATCGGGTGCGGGTGCGCCATGCGGACTGTGCCACTGGGGCCTTCGGTGGAGCTCCGTATAGGGCCACGAAACGTGTGAGAGGTGTGCCGAATCGATGCTGATGACGATGACGATGACGATGACGATGACGATGACGATGACGATGACGATGATGATGATGATGATGATGATGATGATGATGATGACGATGGTGATGAGGACGATGATGAGGATGATGCTGATGATGATTATGATGATGATGGTGGTGGCGATGATGATGATGATAATGATAATGCTGATGATGAAGGTGATGATGATGATGATGGTGATGGTGATGATGATGAGGATGATGACGATGAGGATGAGGAAGATGGTGATGACGATGACGATGGTGATGATGATGGTGGTGCTGATTGTGGTGATGATGACGATGGTGGTGGTGGTGGAAACGGTGATGCTGATGGTGGTGATGATGATGGTGATGACGATGACGATGCAGGTGATGATGATGATGATGATGATGATGATGATGATGATGATGATGATGATGACGGTGACGATGACGATGGCGGTCATGAGCACGATGATGATGATGGTGATGATGATGATGGTGATGATGATGACGATGGTGCTGGTGATGGTGATGATGATGATGATGGTGATGGCGATGATGATGATGCTGCTGATGATCATGATGGTGGTTATGATAATGATGCTGATGATAATTGTGATCATGGTGATGACAATACGATGACGATGAAGATTATGATTGTGATGATGAGATGAAAATGGTGATGCTGGTGCTGGTGATGATGATGATGATGATAATGATGGTGATGATGGTACTGCTGACGATGATGCTGATCATGATGAGGGTGCTGGTGTTTGTGATGGTATGGTGGTGGTGATGGAGATGGTGATGGTGATGATGATAACGGTGATGATGGTGATGGCGATGATGGTGACGATGATGCTGATGATCATGATGATGATGTTGATGATCATGATGATGAAGATGCGGATAATGATGATGATGATGATGATGCTGATGATGATGATGGTGGTGATGATGATAATGATGCTGATCATATTAATGACGACGATGCTGGCGACGACGACGACGACGACGGCGGCGGTAACGACGAAAATGACAATGTTATTGATGTTGATGATAATGATGATGATGATGATGATGATGATGATGATGATGATGATGATGATGACGAGGGTGCTGGTGGTGATGATGATGATGATGGTGATTATGGTGGTGGTGATGATGACAATGCTGATGTTGGTGATGCTTATGCGTATGATGATGATGATCATGATGATGATGATGATGATGATGATGATGATGTTGATGATGATGGTGATGATGATAATGATGACGATGAACATATGTGGAGGGCAGAGGCAGGAATGGGAGGAGGGAGAAGGGAGCAGGAGGAGGAGGTGGGACGCGGGGCGCTGTCTCTTCAAAACAAGACCCAACACCACAGGATCGTTGGCAAATACAGACCAGCCTCTCCTTGCGTAGAGCCCAACCATCTGCATGTGTAACTACCGCAGCTGTGAAAGTCGTTTTCAGTAGAGCTCCCAGTGGGGGCACGAAACATGTGAGGGGTGTGCCGAAATGGGTGCGGTTACGCCATGCGGACTGTGCCGCTAGGACCTTTGGTGGAGCTCCCTATGGTACCACAAAACGTATGAGGGCTGTTCCGAATGAGGTGCGTGTGCGCGCCATGCGGACTGTGCCACTGGGGCCTTCGGAAGAGCTCCCTATAGGGCCTGAAGGGTGTGCCGAATCGGGTGCGGGTGCGCCAGGTGAACTGTGCCACCCGGGCTCTTTCCGTGGAGCCCCTTATGGGGCCACGAAACGTGTGAGGGGTGTGCCGAATCGGGTGCCGGTACGCCATGCAGACTGTGCCACAGGGACCTTCGGTGGAGTACCTATGGGGCCACGAGATGTGTGAGGGGTGTGCCGACATGGGTACGGTGGAGGGCAGAGGCAGGGATGGGAGGCGGGAGAAATAGGAGAAAAGAAGGAGTGAGGCACGCGGGGCGCTGTCTCTTCAAAACGGAGACCCAACACCACAGGATGGTTGGGAGGAAACAGCGATACGGCCACCTCTGAACTGATGTTGCTGGGCCTCTGGAGGGTCCAGCCATCTGGCCGGTCCTGGGCGCCCCTTGCCCTCGGGGCTGCACACCGACCACGGGCCATGTGCTTGGACATGCTCAGCTCCTCTCCGGGGCAGGCGGCTGTGCACCACCACCGCCCCAGGCCATGGCCATCTTGGGCCCCGTGGGTAGATCTCCTGGTCGAGGCCGGGAGGACCCGCACACCAACCGAGGGCCCAGGACGGCCCTGACCAGGAATGGAGGCGATGCACGGCTGTCTTCTGCGGGTCCTCCACCCATGAGCCGGCGCCTGCCACGACAGGGAGTCCACGGCAGCTGCGAGCTCTATCGTCACTGGGCGGGGCTGTCTGGCGTCCGCGCCCAGCACCCCCTCAAGAGCCAGTGGCACTGCCGCTGCTGGGCCGAGAGGGCCTTCGCATTTCATCCGGAGGACGTAGCGGTTGCCCTGCAGCATCTCGAGCGAGAACTCCTCGGAGAGCTCGGGGTCCCCCAACAGCTTGGACAGGCTCTGATGGCCGAACACTGTCTCGCTCAGCTCAGTCTTCAGCAGCGTGCGGAACATCGCCTTCACCTTGGAAACCTCTCCAGGGGCCCGAAGCGAGGGGGGCGAGGGAGGGAGCGAGCGAGCGAGGGAAGAAGAAAGCGCAGTGGAGTCAGCTGAGCTGCAGGATCCCTCATGTCTGACCCGACCTGACAGTTCGATGTGGCATTAGCAAAAGCTGAGAGGACAAAACGGTACCGATCGATACCGCTATTCCCAAGACCAATCCCAGGGTGCATTATGACCAGAAGTTCGAGGAGAATCCTGCCGTGGCGACGAGGGCTCTCCAGGACGAACAGCGGTATCGGTGTATTTTCCTCCTCCGACGAGCTGAATCTGCCTGCAGGTCCAGCTGTGATCGATCACAGCTCCAAGTGCCGACACCTCATCCTGCTAGCAGCCCATTCGGAGCCCAAACGAGCCTCCAGGGTGCCCTCGTCCTGCTTTTCAAGCAGCGTGCGCAAGCCCTGCCGCAGCTCCTCCCACGTCCTGACGTACTGCTCGTCTGGGTTGACGTGCGTCGGCTGGCCCATGCAGGCGTTGACCTTCCGTTCGTGCTCCTCGGACTGGAGGTACGGCACCAGAAGGCTATTGCGATGGCCGAGGAGACACTTGCCCTGCAGCGCGCTGCACCGCACGATGCTCAGCACCCGGCCGAAGCTCATATCGCCAAAGCAGGGCGACTCTTCCTGAAGCCAGGCGGCCACCACGTAGTACTTGTGCGCGGCCTCCTGCGCCTTGTGAGACGAGAGAAGATGGACAAGCATACGACCCTGGCGCACCCCGGATTCATCTTATCATCATCCCGCTCCTCACCCATGTTCTACATGTATGGCGGCATGTGCGAAGCGCTTGCTCCGCGGACGCGAAGTGTGTGTGTGTGTGGACTTGTTCGGTACATCCGCATGCATACCAAATGTTTGCCGAGCTTGCCTACCTCGCGTCACTGAATGAAGACGCCCCACCAATATGTGGTAGCTGATTGCTTGCTTCACGCTTGCAAGATCGCAAGATGACTGCTGAACGGTGGCTGAACGCGTGGGCACGATTCCTGCTGGCGTGCTCGCGTACTTGCAGGTTCCAACCTGAGCGCGCGCACATGAATATATGCGAGACAGAGCGGTGAAGGCTCAGTAAACCTCTGATCAACACAAGAACGTGTGCTGCTCGCTAGAGCGATGCGAACTCGGTGGCCACATAGCGAACTCATTCGGCCTTGCTATATGCTTGCCGAGTGTTCGTTGCACCAGTGATGATTGTGTTACTCCTAGACGTGTCTAACACTGGACGCGGGATACTCAGTGTATGATGCATGCGCGAAGCGTGCATCAAGCGGCATCATGACACGTCACCAAAGTATTGCATCTACCTGTTGAGTGACCGCAAGTTGGACGGGACGCGCGCTGAGGACGTCAGCGGCACGCACAAAAGGCGGGGTAGTCCCCAAAGGCTTCCAAGAGACCTAAAGAAACTCCCCAGAAGCCCCAAGAGGCCCCCAACCAAACCAAATAGGGCCTCCAAAAGGCCTTCGGTACACTATCAAGGCATTGTGGCGGGATCGGCCGGAAACCCATGAACATTATACTCTTCCAGCCGAAGGAGAAAAAATCCACATATCGAATGGGGCGCAAAACGGATATCCCCGATCCGGTGCACACTGACAGCAACAGCGGATATTTAAGGAAGACAGACATGCCGTATGCAAGTACCAAGTAAGAGCACGATCCGCTTCGACATTGCAAGACTGATGTCCAAGAGAATCCAGTGGCAGCCGCACACGTGACGTGAAGAAACTGTCATGAATTCTCGAACGATCGCCAGTTCTACGCTCTCCAAGGGGGGGGGGCCTCGAAGTACCTGTGCAAACACGATGCAAGTATTCCTGCGGAAGCACCCCGCACAAGATTATGCCAACAAACCCGTGCAACCCTCTCGGAGGCAATGGCAATTACAGACATGGAATAGACAAGGCTTCGACGAACATGTCGAACCGAGCGAACTCGAACACGCTTGCACTTTGAATGTGCACGGGTCCAATCAGACAGAATACGACAGCTATACATGTGAGAAGGCGAACGGTGTTCAAAGGTGCTGACAATAGCAAAACTGTGCGCTTCAGCAGCTGGACCCAGCTGAGCTGAAGGGAGCGATCGAACTGAGCTGCGCAAGGTTGGGTTGGGCTGACCGCTCGACTGAACTAAACTGGACGCGGCTGAGCTGAATCGCGAATAATAAACCAGGCCGAAATGAACCGAACTGACCACGCTGGGCTGAGCTGGATTGGGCTGGACTGACTCATGCGGAGTTGGACTGTTGTCGACTGGCATGACCTTAACTGCAACGACTTGCGTTCATCAGCTGGGTGAGCATGAGGTAAAGTGGACCGAACTGGACTGCACGTGACTGAAATGGACTGAGCTGGGCGAAACAACCTTGGGCTGGACAAACCTAGGATGAGCTGGATTTAGGAGGCCTGAACTTGACGGGGTGAGGTGGACTGAACTGGAATGGGAACTACGGCGGGCTGCGCTAGACCGATTTGAACAAAGCGGAGTTCAATTGAACTGAGACGGATTGTGTTGGGCAGAACTGGGCACACATGGACCGAGTTGGACGACCTGAACTAGACAGAGCTAGAATCCCGCCGACCCCTTGGAGATTCATCGGCGCGGGAGATACTGGCCCCTCCCCGAACCCCTCCCCTGGGAGCCTGGTTGGACGCTTTGAATGGGGGGGGTGCCCAGAAGGGTTCATCATCCCGCCGGGAGACTCATCTGCTCCAGAAACTTGCCCATCACGTCTCCGACACCCGCAGTCACTCCAGGACGGCCCCAGGTGCCCTCCACGCGGCCCCATACGGCCCCTGACTCTTGCCAACACCACCCACGAGACTGGTCATGCGGATGGTAGCCTCCATACGCCTGTGTTGTTCCAGTAGCTCTTGCCTCGCTCGCATGTGCCGTTCTTCTGTATTCCGCAACCTCAGATGCAGGATGTTGTTGTCGCTGCGGTCCTTGATCCTGTCTTCTGCCGCTTTGGCTTCGACGCTGGCGACTTGGCCGTCGGCTCCCATGGTCACGTTGCAGTGCGTCTGCCTTTGTGTTGCTGATATTTATTCGCTTTGAAGATTCCTTTTCCATATTGTCCCCCATGTGGTTGCTGTCGGCAAGCTGTTTCTGAATTTCCTGGTGCTGTCTCTGCAGTTGGTTGTCGTTTGTTGTCAGAGGCTGATGCCCCGCATCAACTGGAGATCTCTTCATGGTTTCGATCTGCTCCTCCGCCCTGTTGGGCTTCTCCGCGTTAATGGTCTAAATGTACTCGTGGCGTGTTGCCATCTTGTCTGGAGCATGCTTTGAGCTTTGAAAATCCTTCTTCAGCTCGCTGTTGTAATTATCGGCCCTTTGTCTTGCAGTTTCCTCCGCTGTGCGCAGGTGTCTCTTGAGGTTGTTGATATCGTCGGTGGTTTGGGCCTTGTTTTTCTCGGTGTCGTTGGCCCTTCAGAATCCTGAGCATGTTGCCGAAATCCCGCCCGTCCGTGGCTTCGCCCGCCCTTGGCTGCTTCCATATGGTGATGGTGTAGGCGATCTTCTTGGCAGACGGCTCCTTCGTGGTGGATCTGCTTCGTCATCTGCAGCTTCTGCGTCGCTGTGCCACTCATGCATTGCATTGCTGGTGTCGCGATGGAAGGCCGTGAGATCCTCAATGTTGTTCCCGATATCATTAATGTGGATTGCTGTCTGTTGCCAGTGAATATTGGAGTGCTCGTTGTAGTCCTCCACGGTCCCACTGGCATCGTCGATATCGCTCGCCTGCTGGTCCAGGGGCGTGCTGCTGAGGACCGTCGCGTTGGTGGAGACCACATGTGTGGCGGCGTCGGCAGTAGGTGAACCTGCTGTATTATTTTTGACGGTGGCAGCTGCCGCTCTTCGCTCCTCGACGCGTTCGATATTCTTCCATTCGTCCCTCAGTTTGTGGTCGTTGGGAGGAGGCTCCCAGTTGTGCCTCCTGACCGCGTAGATTCCCATCATGGGCATGACATTGTTGATCGTGTTGGTGACGCGCTCGATGTTGTTGTCGAACCCACACTACTGAAACAAATAGTGTTGATCCCCCTTCGGGTGACCATTTTGTTTTTCATTTGAAGTGTTCCCCCCAGGGTTCGCACACTGCTTCTTTATATTTTTTTTAAAAAAAAAAAAAAAAAAAAAAAAAAAAAAAAAAAAAAAAAAAAAAAAAAAAAAAAAAAAAAAAAAAAAAAAAAAAAAAAAAAAAAAAAAAAAAAAAAAAAAAAAAAAAAAAAAAAAAAAGAAAGACACTAGGGTAAAACTGCTCTGTTGGCCCCGAACTACAACAACAACAGCAACAACAACAACAACAACAACAACAATCACTTTACCCGAACGCTCAGTGTTCTCACCAGTGCCAGGGTTTTCATGCGACGCCAGCCAATACCCCCACTTTGTGGGGGGGCAGTGCAAGCTCTACCAAATATCCACACGACTCTTCGCCACCACCCACACCCAGCTTCCCGCCCTATGACGTTCGGACACTTCACTTCGTGGCCTGCGGACGACCGTGGCTACTACACTGGCGTGGAGTACACACCCACAGAAGTTGTTAAGCCTACGTTCGTACACCCACAGAAGTTGTTAAGCCTTGTTAACCCACAGAAGTTGTTAAGCCTTCCACAGAACATCTGTTGCATATGATGCATATGGTACATGATACACATGATACCCAATGGTTTTTGGAGATTTCGGCGTGCGCGCGCGAAGAAAAAACGAATGTGTCCCGCATGGTATTATTTGACAGGGATGATGGCCCTGGCAGGTGCGCAACCGTTGTCGCAGAAGTTCGAAAAAGTTGCTCGCAAAAGCCCGTTTGACAGAAATGTTTAAAAAGTGTTGGGTTTCCTACGAATCCGCAAGAGCGCGCGGGATGAGATTTTGACATTTGTTTGTTGAAAAACCATTGGTTTTTTGATGTTTTTATGTTAAAATCGCTCCGAACACTAAGCTTTTGGAAGGATTTCGTCTTGCGCGCGCGAATGTCCACTTTACCTTATTTTTTGCAAGGGATTCTTGAAATTTGATTATATTAGAACAAGAAATGTCATTTTATAGTGTTTTTTGCAAGGGAAAACGGATTACAACAAAACAACCGGATCTGGACCCCATCCACTTTTCTGAAGCTTTCGCGAAAAAATGATGAAAATGTAGCTGCGGCCTAGGCGCGGCGGGGGGGCCGTGCACCAGGGGTCCCAACAATAATTATTCTTTAGAATTAATAATGTTCAACAACAATAATAATAGTAAAAATAATAATAATAATAATAATAATAATAATAACGGTTCCCGCTTGATACTTCCTCACAGTGCATTCCCAAATCGCGCTTTCGCGCGGGACGTCCTCACAAATTAAGCAGGAATCGCGCTCGCGCGTGGAAAATCGTCGCAAATTATTCAGACGCCGCGACATTCAGGAGTCACGCTCTCGCTGTAGATTTCCTCACGATTGATTTGGGAATCGAGCTGTCGCGCGAGACGTCCTCGCGATCCATGCGGGACGCATGCTTGAGCAACCCGCCTGCTCGACCCGGCCGCGTGGGCCCTCCTTCCCGACCCGCCTTGTAGGGTCTACCCGCCCGATCTTCCCGTCTGGTTCTGCCACGTGCTTTCTGCTCGTAGCCCGTGTTCCATCCTCCTCCCTCCCTCTTGTCCTTCCTTCAATCCGTCCTCTCTTTCTCTGCCTCAGGGGCTGCGCGAAACACACGTTGCAGGTAAGAAAGATACACCCCCAAGGGGGTACGGTCGAGGACGAAAAGGGCGGGTATCGAGCGTTCGGGATATTAGTGTTGAATGGAACGCGAGCAGGTAAGACCGAACAGTATTAAAATGATTGTTGTTGTTTTTGTAGTTCTAGCCGCCGTCCTTCTTCTTGGGCGTATCTTCCTTTTCGGGTTGGATATGGATTGCCTTGTTCCTATGTTGTTATTGCCCTTGCCCTTCTGCTTGTTGCTGGCGGGGTCCTGGTGGTCGTTCCTCCCCTTGCCGTCCTGGTAGCTGCCCTTCCCGTTGAGGTTCTGGTTCCAAGACTTGTCCATGTGACTGTCGGCCTCGTCCATCCACTTGTAGTTCTTCCAGCGCTCGAGTCCAGAACCTATGGCTGGTGTAGCGGGCCTCGGCGTTGTAGCTCTGGATCGCGGGCGGCTCGATGCTGATCTCCACGGTGGTTGCGCAGACCCCGATCCGCTCGCGGCTGCTCTCCATGATGTCGCCGTGGTTAGAGTTTAAAGTAGATGCCGAGGTGGCTGCTGGGCGCTGTGGCGCGTGGCGAGGAACTGGCGCGCTGTGTAAGCTGGTGGTGGATGTTGTGGTCGAAGAGTTCTCGTGCAGCGGCGACTCGTAGCAGCACTCGTGCGTGAGCTCGCTGTTCGCGTGGCCGGCGGCGCTACGCTGGATTAGCCGACGAAATCGTGGTGAGCCGAGGGGAAAGGGATGTTGTCGAAAAAGAATGTACAACGTATGGTTCGGAAATGAGTGTAGCAGTTGATGCAAAATGGCCGGTTTACCATGAGGCTGGCCCCCTGGGGCTGGCACACTGTCGCGGGCTTCTGGGCCCGAGGTGTCCTACTCGTCTCCTCCTCATCATCATCATCATCCTAAGCCAGATTTGAGGGCGGTCCGGGCGTTTCGCCTGAGACTTCATCACCGCTTCCGACTCTGGAGCTGAAAAATGGAAACAGCTTCACAGATGGAGGGCGGGTGGTTTTCAAAATGTAGTTCTCGCCTTAGCGAAGCGCACATTCGTTTTAAAATATGCAAGAGTTTCACGGATTGAGGGCGGGTGGTTTTCAACATGTGGCTCTCGCCTCAGCGAAGCGCACATTCGTTTTACAAATTTGCAAGAGCTTCACGGATTAAGGGCTGCTCCTTTTTTCACAATGTGGCTCTCGCCTTAGCGCGGTGCACATTCGATTCTTGAATTGCAAGAGTTGCACGGATTCCCATCATCAACGTGCGAGAAAAGGTGCTTTGAAAGGACGAAAGATTATGCGGGCGCAACAGTTACCTTGATTCGCTGTGCTGAAGCCCCAGGAATGGCGTTCTGGCACAATTTTCAAAGTCGTCAAGACGCAACAGTGAAGTTCATCCGTGGCGTTGGAATCCCCAGAACAATACTCTGGCATGCTTCAGGGTCTTCAAACGGTTGTCTTCGAACGAGGCAGCTCCCTCAATGGAAATGAATCGTTGTAGGGGCCTATGAAGAGGGAGCTTGGAGGGAGGGTTTATTCCAACATCGTTGATGACTCTTGGGTTTACACTGATCTTCCTCCTCCTCCTCCTCCTCCTCTGCTGCCGCGGCCCCAGCACCCATCCTTCTTTGGAATGGGTTGCAAAACGTGGCCTCATGCGATTCGGAGGGGGGCCTATCACACTTGTCCTCCTCCTCCTCCTCCTCCTCCTCCGCCTCCTCCTCCTCCTGTTCCTCCTCCTCCTCCTCCTCTTCCTCCTCCTCCCCCTCCCTCTCCCCCTACATCTCTCGCTCTCTCTCTCTCTCTCACCCTCTCTCTCGCCCTCTCCCTCTCCCTCTGCCTCTGCCTCTGCCTCTGCATCTCCCCTCCCTCTCCCTCTGCCTCTGCCTATGCCTCTGCCTGCGCCTCTGCCTCTCCCTCTCCCTCTCCCGCTCCCGCTCCCTCTCCTCCGCCTCCTCCTCATCCTCCTCCTCCGCCTCCTCCTCCTCCTGCTCTCCTCCTCCTCCTCCTCCGCCTCCTCCTCCTCCGCCTTCTCCTCCTCGTCCGCCTCCTCCTCCTCCGCCTCCTCCTCTCCTCCGCCGCCTCCGCCTCCGCCTCCTCTGCCTCCTCCGCCTCTTCCGCATCCTCCGCCGCGTCCTCTCCCTCCTCCCTCCGCCTCCTCCTCCTCCTCCTCCTCCTCCTCCCTTCCTCCTCCTCCTCCTCCTCCTCTCTCCCCCGCCTCAGAGGGGGCCATCCTGCGCGAGAGGGGCGGAAGCGCGCACGGCGCGCCCCCTGCCGAAGCGGTCCTCCTCCTCCTCCTCCTCTCCGCCTCCTCCTCCGCCTCCTCCTCCTCCGCCTTCTAATCCTCGTCCGCCTCTTCCTCCTCCGCCTCCTCCTCCTCCTCCTCATCCTCCTCCTCCGCCGCCTCCGCCTCCTCCGCCTCCTCCGCCTCCTCCGCATCTTCCGCCGCCTCCTCATCCTGCTCCTCATCCGCCTCCTATTCCGCCTCCTCATCCCTCCTCCTCTCTCCTCCTCCTCCTCCTCCTCCTCCTCCTCCTCCTCCTCCTCCTCCTCCTCCTCCTCCTCCTCCTCCTCCTCCTCCGCCTCCTCCTCCTCCTCCTCCATTCCTTTCCCTTATGAGTAATTCCTCCCTGTCGCACCCCGAGGCCAGCCAGAAGGGCGCGCCGCTCATTGCGCCTGAAACTTCCTCACCATGTATGTTCCTGAAACAGGAAGTGTGCAAGAGTTTCACGTATAAAGGGCGGGTGGTTTTCACAATGTGGCTCTCGCCTTTGCGAGGCGCACGTTCGTCATCAAATATGCAACAGCTTCATGGATGGAGGGCGGCTCCTTCCCAAAATGTGGCTCTCGCCGTAGCGCCGCGCACACTCATTTTAAGATGTTCAACAATTTGAAGGATTACGTAATATGGCAAACATCCCAAAAATAATGTGTTCGCCAGATGTCAGACTGTCAGAGCGTGCTCGGCACTTCTTGGCTTTGCTTGGCTTTGCTTGGCATTGCTTGGCATTGCTTGGCAATGCTTCGCATTGCTTCGCATTGCTTCGCATTGCTTGGCATTGTTTTGCATTGCTTTGCATTGCTTGGCGTTGCTTGACATTGCTCGACATTGCTTGGCATTTCTTGGTATTGACTGGTATTGCTTGGCATTGCTTGGGGAACCTGGGGAACCTGAGCAACCCGAGGAACCCGAGGAACCCGAGGAACCCCGAGAACCCGAGGAACCCGAGGAACCCCGAGAACCCGAGGAACCCGGGGAACCGGGGGAACTGGGGGAACCCAGGGAACCGGGGGAACCCAAGGAACCTTAAGCCCCGAGGAACCCAGGGAACCTCCGAGGAGCGGGCAAAGTAGCCACCCGAGGCACCAACCTATAACCAACTAGGAACCCCGTAGGCAAGCTTGATGGGGGAAAAATAAATCATTGTAGGGGCCTATGAAGAAGGAGCTTGGAGGGAGGGTATACTGCAGCATCGTTAATGAGTCTTGGATTTACACTGGTTCTCCTCCTCCTCCTCCTCCTCCTCCTCCTACTCCTCCTCCTCCTTCCCCCTTTTCCAGGAGGGAGGAGGAGGAGGAGGAGGAGGACAAGGAGGAGGAGCACGGAGAGGCGGAGGCTGACGACGACGACGACGACGACGACGACGACGACGACGACGACGACTAGAACGAGGAGCGCAGGCCTTGTGCCAGCCGCCGCGCCCGAGGCAGGCCGAGACCTCCTCCCAGGTGCGCTCGTCGAGCGTCGCTAGCGCGTCGTCCTCGCCCGGATTTCTGTCGAGAGCCACCAGGGCACGCACTGAACTCGAACGACACTGAACTCGCACGGACGAACTCGCACAGACGAGCTCGCACGCTGGCGGCTGAACTTGCACACACTTAATTCACACGCACTGAACTCGCACCAGCGGAACCCGCACGCACTGAACTCGCACGTACTTGATTCGCAAGCGAACAATGGCCACCCGTGCGAAGTCCTGCGAAAGATCGTCCGTGCCGAATCAGTATGTGCGGGCTCAGTCCGTGTGAGTTTAAAGATATGCGAGTTCAGTCAGTGCGACTTCAGTGCTCGAGCAAATTCACTGCGCGTGCGGGATCAGCTCCGTGCGACTTCAGCGCGTGCGAGTTCAGCCCCGTGCGAGTTCAGCACGTGCGAGTTCGGTGCGCGTGCAATCTAAGTTATATCCGAAGGCCCCCACTCAGGTCGTGGGAGAAATCGTGAGGGAAGGTTCTAGGCCATCTTCAGCTGCACACAAGAGTGGCCCTACAGCCAGTGGAAGGTGTTGCTGGTAGGATTTTTGACTTGGTGGGTTCGTCTGCGTTGGTTGAGACTGAGGTCCGAATGCGCGCGCTATCAGGCGCGGTGATGAAGCGCACGGCGTGGCCTGTCGGAATCCACGTCGTGGAACCAGGTCACCTGACGTCGCGCTTTGCGCCTTCGCGCCCTCGCGCCCTCGCGCCGCACCTAGGAGAAGGGCAACCGCTCTGACCCGGACCGCGACGCGCGAAGCGCGATTATCTTCGCGACCCCGCGGGTGCCCTAGCGAAGAAATCGCGCTGGCAGGCTTCAGGTAATTTTCGGCTATGCGCAAAGAATGGCCCCAAACAAGAGTGACATTTGGTGAGCGGCGTCCCGATCTTTGCGCGCAATGCGACAGAAGCGGCATGCGTGCCTGGGCTTGACCCCCCCGCACCACCCCGTCAACTCTGGCGAAACGCCGACATCTGCGGCTTCGTTTTGTGGTCCTTGCCGGGGCCTAGGGCCGTCAAAAAAACGACTCGGGATGAAAGATCAGTCCCGGGTGAGGGTGTAGAGACCTCCTCGTCGCCGTCGTCGACGGCATCATCATCGTTAAGACAAGTATCATACTCTTCCCCCACCTCCTCCTCCTCCTCCTCCTCCTCCTCCTCCTCCTCCTGCTCCTCCTCCTCCTCCTTCTCATCCTCCTCCTCCTCCTCCGCCTGCTCTGTTTCATTGATCTCGGAACCATCATTGAGGGAACCGTGGTTTTATACCAGAACTTCGCGCAACTCTTCGGAGCCGCCTGAAGCTCTTTGGAAGGCGAGGACTCTCGGAAGCTCGCGCGAGAGGTATCCGAGAGCTCTCGGGCACGCTCGGAGGGTTCCAAATGAGGAGGATGAGGCGCGTGAAGCGCAGGAGGGAAGAGGAAGGAGGGAGGAAGAAGGGGGAGGCGGCTCGCCGTAGCGCCGCGCACATTCGTCTTCAAAGCTTGCAGCAACAATTACGCGGATGGGGGGGCGGCTCCTTGTTTGAAATGTGTCTCTTCTCTCGCCTTAGCGCGACGCACTCTCGTCTTACAGACTGACAAGAACGGGGATGGGGGATGGCTCCCTATCAGAATGGGGCTCTCGCTGGTACGGTCGATCAACCCAGCAAAACCAGAATGTTTGGCCAAGTTTCATGGCCTCGCGGATGGAGGGCGGTTCCTTCTCAAAAGTTTGGCTCTCGATTGAGACTGCCTCTAAGATCATGACCAAATGTGCAGCTCTGCGCAACAGTTGCATTGATGGGGGGCGGCCCAATTTTCGAAATGGCGACATCCCTGGACATCTCATTCAGCGGTATGATCATACCTTTCGCAGTCCGTATGACTCGCTGGAAGGATACAGGGCAGCTCCTTTTCGAGAAGGAGCTCTCGCCATTATGGCAGGCCTTTCAAGAGCTGGTCGTACAAGGGGGCGCTTTCTGCAGCAAAAACGAGAACTTGCATGAGTTGCCCTATGAGGTGGGAAATCGGGGCGGCGGGGTGTATTGCAGCATCGTTGATGCATGGTGGGCTTACTCTGGTCATCGCTCCTCCTCATCCTCCACATCCTAATCCTCATCCTCATCCCTCCCTTCCTCTGCAGTCGGGTGGTCGAAGGGTTCGGAGGGGGCTCGATTTGCAGTTGGTTTCGCCGGTCGGGCCCCACAGCAGGACGGCGCCTCGCAACCTGGTTGGAAGGGCCATCGTAACAAGGCCTTCGCTATAGGCTCTTTGCCACCACCACCCTTTCCACCGTCTCTCTTCCCTCCTCTCTCCCACGCCCCGTTCTCTTCCTCCCCTGCGGAAATTGACAAGTACCGATACCGCTACTCTCCGGACCTCTCCCGGGGTGCGTTCTGACCAGAATTTCGATGCGAATTCAGCCGTGACGAGGGCCTCCAAGGAGGCAAGGCGAAAACGAGGAAAGGGTAGCTGTACCGGTGCCACTTCCTCCTCCGATCCTCCTCCTCTCACTCTCTTCCCCGCCCCAGGGGAGCGAGCCCAGGGGTGGGGCGACCGCCCGCCGCGCCCTGGGCCCCACGGTGTGCCTCCCCCCGGCCGGTTTGCTGGCTGGACGGCCTCGCTCACGAAGCCCTGGAACCCTGGCGGGGGCTCGTCGAGGACAGCGCTGAAGTTGAGCTTCTTGGTCGAGATCGGCTCCAGCCTGATAGCAGAAGGAAAGGCACGAGCCTAAACTTCCCGGGGGTCCGCGCGGACTTCTCGGATCGGCGCTGGACCCCCCACCCTGGGCGCGCGGAGCGCGCCAGGGGCGGCGCTGGAGGCGCCGCCAGGGGGGGGGGGCCAGCGCAGAGCCAAGAAATCCGCGCTGACCTCCCAAAGTCATGTTCATGCTGTGTTCTTGCCTTCGACGGGCTCAGGGAGAGAAACATCTAGCTTGAATCGGCGATACGTCGCCGATGATCGGCGATAGGCCCCCGATAACGAATCCGCACGCTCCTCGGCGAGGTAGGCCATCGGGCCCCTCATCGGCGCCGAGTGGGCGATTGGGGGGCCGATGCGCTCCACCCTGAGCACATCCCCCCCTCACGTTGCCACCTGGCCTTTGAGTCACAACCTGGCTCTCCGGCGGCCGTTCGGGGCGATCTGGGCACTCCCGGACGACCCTCGGCAAGGCGCAGCTGCTGGAAAGCACCCCACGGCTGGAGAACCGCCGAGGACTTGCAAAAACGTCCGAAGACCTCAAACCACGACCCCGAAAGTCCCCCCCTCTAACGCTGCCCCTGAGGCCTAAGACCCGGAGTGTCCACGATGAGGGCCCGCAGCTGCTGGTGGTTGAGCTTCACCCCGACCAGGTAATGCAGGAACCACTGCAGCAGCGGCCCGCGGGGGTTGGCCTCGTCCTGGTAGAGGGACTTCACCGCCCACCTCAGGATCATCTCCTCGCAAAGCAGAAGTTTCTCCGGATCCACCGCCTGAAAACCGATGTCCTGGGACCCCAGGGGGCGGTGGACATGGATATACGTACGTGGGCCACCTGGGGCCCGAACATATCCATCTCCACCGCCTCCCGAGGTCCCGCAAGATCGGAGCCCCAGGCGGCGGACATGGATGAACCCCAGCTTCGGAGTCCTGGCTCAAGCCCTCGCGCGCCTTGCTCGAGGCTGGCGAGGCTGGGCCTGCCGATCTGGGCTTGGCCATCTGTGCGCGCGCACCGTGCAACGGAGAGGTGCAGAGGGAAGCCGACTACAAGGGGCGGAGGGAGCGGGCACAACGCCTGGGTTGCGCCGTGAGTGGGTGAGGACGGCGCCTCGAGCCAAACGGCTGTCAAGGCCTGGCTGGACCGCAGGCTCTGGCGGAGACGGCCAAGGGGCTGCCGCGCGCATGCCCTGGCTGGTCGGCTCTCCGTATGTCCCGCTCTGCTCCACACTGCCGTGCCCCACCACGTGTCGATCGGCCCACCTGCATTGCCTCACGGCACGAGATGCCGTCTCCAGAAGTGCGTCGCGATGCCCTCCACCACTCCGCTGTTGCTATCCTCCCTTTCTGGTCTGCCCCACTCCACGCAGTTTGAGGCACCCTGTGGGCCCCATTTTGTGGAACGCTGTGTTTTGGAGACGGCCCTCGGCGAATGGGATCGCCCGAGGGGCCGCGCCGATATCGATACCTGCCTCTGCCTTCCGCATGTCCACTTCGGCACACCCCGCACGCGCTTTGTGGCCCCATGGGGAGCCCCACCTAAGGCCCCAGTGGCAAGGTTCATGCCTGGTCCACGCCATGTCGGTGCACCCCTCACACTCTTCGTGGCGCCCCATGGGGAGCTCCAGTGGCAGGGTTCGCATGCCGGGTTTGCATGCCTGGTCCACACAATTTCGGCGCACCCCTCGCACGCTTCGTGGCCCCATAAGGAGCTCCACCTGATGCCCCAGCGGCAGGGTTCGCATGGCTGGTCCACGCCATTTCGGCGCACTCATCACACGTTTCGTGGCCCCACAGGGAGCTCCAGTGGCTATTTGGCGCTCTCGGGAAGCCCTAAAAGACTTATTCGCTGCGTGGAGCTCCCCATATGTGCATTTATTATCATGGACATGTCCGCCGTGAGCGTCCAGGCGCAAGAGTTTTCGAATATAAACGGGCTTGCATATTGACGGTCTGGAAGCGAATCTAACTGTGAACGGGTTGGAGTGCGAATGAGTCTCAGTAGTATTAGTGCGCCTCTGCACACGAGCCTGGGGCCTCCTGGGGCCTCTTGGGGCTTCCTGTGCCCTCCTGGAGCCTCCTGGAGCCTCATGTAGCCTCTTGGAGCCTCCAGGAGCCTCCTGGGGCCTCCTTGAGAGGATTTGTGCCCCAGGAGAGGCCCAACCGATAGGAACAAACGTAAAACACGTCGGATTGGAGCCACAGGAGAAAAACAATCTACAGGAACACACGTAAAACACCAAGTGTTCGTGCCCCAGGGCAGGCCCAATCTAATAGGAACATACGTAAACACTTAGGTAGAAGTGGACAATCTATAGGAACATACGTAAAACACTTGGGATTGGAGCCAGTCCTGTGGCCTTCTGAGGCCTCCTGCTCCTGGGGCCCGTGGGGGCTCCTGGAGCCTTCCTGTGGCATCCTGGGTCCACCTGGAGTCTGCTGGAGCCTCCTGTGGCATCCTGAGGAGGATCCGTGCCCACGAGTCTGGCCAGCAAAACAGGCACACCGTTCGAGACATCCTCGCCATCTGGGCCCCCTGGGGTGCGAAAACCAGAGCCTCGCACTACTCATCCTCCAAATCTGCTCCGAAAGCGGAGGACGTTGAACTGGTAAACAAGCAAACCGCTTGACCAGCAAACCGCCTGAGACATCCTCAGAATCTGCTCTGAGCGCAGACGAGCCTGGCCCCCCAAACAGGCAAACCGCTTGAGCCATCCTCGCCATCTGGGCCCCCTGGGGTGCGAAAACCAGAGCCTCGCACGAGACATCCTCCAAATCTGCTCCGAAAGCGGAGGATGTTGAGCTGGTTATAAAAAAAAAGCCGCTTGAGACATCCCCACAATCTGGACGCGAACGGAGGCCGTGAGACACCCCTGGCGGCCCCCTTAGGAGTGCGAAACCAGCAAACCGCCTGAGACATCCTCGGAATCTGCTCTGAGCGCAGACGAGTCTGGCTACCAAAACAGGCAAACCGCACGAGACGTCCTTGCCATCTGGCCCCCTCTGGTCATCAGCACCGTCGTCACCAACACCATCACCAGCACCATCACCATCACCATCACCATCACCATCACCATCATCATCCTCATCATCATCATCATCATCATCATCATCATCATCATCATCATCATCATCATCATCCTCATCATCATCATCATCATCATCATCATCATCACCCTCATCAGCATCATCATCATCATCATCATCATCATCATCATCATCATCATCATCATCATCATCATCGTCAGCATCAGCATCATCATCATCAGCAGCAGCATCATCATCATCATCATCATCAGCAGCATCATCATCAACAGCGCCATCAACATCATCGTCACCATCAGCAGCAGCAGCATCAGCATCGCCATCATCACCATAATCCCCATCATCGACATCATCAGCATCGTCACCCCCGGCAACTTCAGCATCATCATCAGCATCATACCAACCATGGTCACCATCATCATCACCAGCAGCAGCAACAGCATCATCAGCATCATCATCATTATCATCAGCAGCATCAGCATCATCATCATCATCACCATCATTATCATTATCATTATCATAATCACCATCATTTCTCGTCACCTGCAATCATCATCATTTTTAATCAGCAGCACTCATCATCTGTATCATCATCGGCGCCATCAGTATCGTATCGTCCTCATTCGGCATCATCATACTCTGAGCGCATCACCATAAGCTGAGTAGGATGGGGGAGAGAGGGAGGAGGTGAGGAGGAGGTCCGCGCGGTCAAAGTAATAACATTAACCCCATCTTATGATATGGTGAATTAAGACGACATCCCATAACAAACCATAACGAAACTCAACATATCATAGCATAGCATGCCAAACAATTATATGCAATACCATAACATACCATACCATCGCATAGCATGCCATACCGTGCCATAGTATAACACACCATACCATGCCATAACATAATATACCACAACATAGCATACCATGCCATGACATAACATGCCATACCGTAACATGAGGATGTGGAGGCAGAGGAGGGAGGTTATGGAGGAGTTGGCGCAGCCCGAGTAATAGCAAGATCCCCATCCTTCGGAGATGGGGAATACAACACAACAGAACCTGATGACGAAGAGGAGGATGGAAGTGATTTCGCGGAGCGGTCGGAGTAATAACAAGAACCCCATCCTTTGGATATGGGGAAAGAATGCGCAATCCGCCCGCATTTCTGGGATCGGCGCTTGGGCCCCGCCGACCCAAGAATCTGCGCGGAACTCCGACAGCTGATCTTTATAACGTTTTTTCTCTTTCGACGCTCCAGGCGCCCTGAATCCACAAAGGCAACATCTTTTCGGAAGACAACTCTTCCTTCCGCCGGCTTCCGCCGGGCTTCTGCTGGCGGAGCCGCCCTCCTGTAATTCCGCCGTCTTCAGACCGCCACGTGGAGCCGCGCGGTCAATTCCATGTAACCTACACATATGTCCGCTGATGAGCCAGGGAAGACCGTCCTGATGCTGCTGTTCATGCTTCGACGCCTCATTCGTCTCCTCATTCACCCGATCTTGCTGCTGCTGCTGCTGCTGCTGCTGCTGCTGCTGCTGCTGCTGCTGCTGCTCCTCCCAGTCCTCCTCCTCCTCCTTCTCTTCCTCCTCCTGAGACCCTGAGACCCTGAGGCCCTAAGACCCTGACAGCGAGAAAATCGTCTTTCACGGATTGAGGGCAGGTGGTTTTCAAAATGTAGCTCTCGCCCAAGCGCCGCGCATATTCGTTCTAGAAATTGCAAGAGCTTCACGGATTGAGGACGGCTCCTTTTCAAAAAGTGGCTCTCACCTTAGCACCACGCACATTCGTTGTTTAAAGTTGCAAGAGTTTTCACGGACTCCCCCGGTCAGCGTACCAGAAACGATGTTTTAGAGAGACTCATGACTTTGAGGATGCAACAGCTACGTGGATTCGCGATGTTGGAATTACAGAAATGGCGTTCTGGCACGGTTCAGGATCGTCAAGACGCAAAAATCAGGTTGATCCGTGGCGTTGGAGTCCCGAGAATAATGTTTTGGCATGCGTCAGGGTCTTCAAACGGTTGTTTTCAAACGAGGCAGTTCCTTCAGTGAAAATGAACTCTTGGGGCCTATGAAGAGGAAGCTTGGAGGGAGGGTTTATGCCAAAAACGTTGATGACTCTTGGGTTTCCACTGGTCCTCCTCCTCCTCCTCCTCCTCCTCCTCCTCCTCCTCCTCCTCCTCTTCCTTTTTCCCAGCCGTGCGGCGCCAGGATTTGTTCGCGACGTGGGCCCACAGGGGCTCTCGACCCCTTCCTTCCCCAGAACCGTTTCCTTGTCTCGGGACGCGTAATTACTGATCGTCCTGGGGATCGAAGAAAACGACCCCTGGAGGCCAAACTCGGGGGACAAGCGCAGGCATAGAAATGACGAATTCGAAGGTCGGGGCCCTCCCCTGAGAAAAAAAAAAAAAAAAAAAAAAAAAAAAAAAAAAAAAAAAAAAAAAAAAAAAAAAAAAAAAAAAAAAAAAACGCGAAAATTCGCGACCCGAACTGCAGACCCCATCGTTCTGAGGCATGGTTCGAAACGGATCGATCTGTAGTGGCCCCAGGGCCCGAAGCCAGACGAAAACGCCCGCGGTACAAAAAAGATGCAACGCCGGGATCTCAGAGAGCCCTGCGCGCCAGCCGAAGAGAAGGTACACACGCCTCCACTCCGCCTCGATCTTCTTCCTCTCCGCGAGGCACCACTCCTCGGTATCCTGCCGGAGCTGCTGCACCTCCGCCTGGGGAGCGCCCCCCCTGCTGTCTGCGCGGGGGCCCTCCCCTCCACGCGCAGAGGCCGGCACCTGCACACCACACCACCACCACACCTTTCGATTTGGGGGGGCGTTGGAGGGTGAGAGGGGGAGAGGGAGAGGAGGGAGAATAGGAAGAAGAAGGGGAGGAAGGGAGGATGGGGATAGGAGGAGGAAGACAGGGAGGAGGGGGCCCCAGCATGGTGCACACGCACTCCTGACCGGGGCCACGAGGGAGTCTACCCTGAGATCCGACGTTGCGAAAAGTTTGCAGCGTCGCGAAAATCACAACCAGAGCCCCAGGCCCAATCTTGCTGCGGCATTTCTCGAGCTGGATCGATCTGAGAAGATCCTGGGGTCCTAAGCCAAGCGAGAACGCCCGTTGTGAAAAAATGCAACGCCCAGATCTCAGGGTTAGAGAAAAAAAGGACTCCAGAATGGATAAATAAAGTCGCCAGCATGGAGGTCGGACCTCCATCTTTACGACAGGCCACTCAGCAGCTTGACTCCTCCTCTTCTTCCCCTTCCTACCCCTATACCAGCACCATTCCTCATCTTCCTGGGACTGTCCTCCTCCTCCGCCTCCTCCTAATCATCAGCATCATCATCAACCGCATCATCACCAACATCAACCGCATCAACCGCATCATCATCATCATCAGCATCATCATCATCATCATCATCATCATCATCATCATCATCATCATCATCATCATCATCATCATCATCATCGTCATCGTCATCGTCATCGTCATCGTCATCGTCATCATCATCATCAGCATCATTATAATCAGAATCATCATCAGCAGCAGTATCATCATTCCCCTCTTCTGCCGTCTCCCTTCCCATTCTTCTCCTCCCGTTCCGTCTCATCTCCCTTGTTCTCACTCCCTCCTGGCCAGAATCCGCTCCAGATGATTCCCCTAACCCCTCGGATGCACATTCCTGGCAGCCTTTTTCAGGCACGTCCAGTCGCGCCAGCGATGGGCACCGACCAAACAATGCAAAGAAGGCAGGCCCGAAGAAGAAAGGCGCACCACACGATCCCCCCGTCATGGGAGGACGCCAACAAAACGAAGCAAGCGCAAAAGCAGCCACAACAAAACTGGTATCCGACAAAAACGGACAAACAACTTGACTCCCCCGCGACGAAGGGAGGTCTGACTCCCCTCGGGGAGACGTAAGACTCGAGGTTTGCGGGGACTCGAATTGGCATGACGGGGCCGTCGGAAAGATGACGGGACCTGGTCTGAAATCCGACGCGAGCTCGCGCTGCAGACATCCCACGAAGACTGGACCGTCAAAACCCACGCTGGCCCGAGTTCTGGCAAGCCCGAGCCTTACGCTTCCCCGACCCCCCGTCGCCAGGCCCCAAAAACGCCTGCACGGCTGCGCGCTCGCACGCCATCTGCCGCTCGGCGCCCTCCACCCGGGCGCGCTCTGCCTGCCGGGTGCCATCGTGGGCGGCGCGGGCGGAGCTCCGAGGCCTTTCGATTGGGCACGCTCGGAGACCTTCGGCAGCGTCCGGAGGTCCCCAGAAGAGCCTTCAACTTCAGAGGCCCCGGGGGCCCCAGGTCCAAATCGATCCACCGGGCCCTCACAGATCGATCCGGCTCGAAAAATGCCGCGTAAAGAGGAGGTCTCGGGCGCTGGTCGTGATTCCCCACGATGCGATGCCAGCGTTTCAAGCGACGTCGGATCTGTCGGGGGGGGATGCAAGGCCTCTGGAAGCCTTCCAGACTCCTCCCGAAGCTGCCGCTGGAGATCTCGGAGCCTGGGCCGGAGAGGGGGATTGCGAAGGACTGGGCGCAGCAGCAGGGTGGGCAGCAGCGGGGGCACATAGAGTTTATGCTATGTGTATATAGATGTTCCGATACATACATAGAGACGTGTGTAAATGTTTAGATGCACGCATGCATGTATGTGTTTATGTAGATTCTAAATATGAAGTCGCATATGTATATGCACGTATGCACGTAAATCTGCATACATATAATATATATATATATATATATATATATGTGTGCGTATACATACATGGTGCCCAAGCATATGCGCACATACAGATACATGGGTAAATATGTAAATACATACATATATATACACACATACATACGTACATGCATATATACATACGTACACGCACACCCACATACATATATAGATATACGCAGCCCCCCGCAGTTGCGGATAAGAGTGAGGGGGCGGCGGGGACGTCTGCAGTCTGCGAGGCTCTGAAGAAGCCCGCCGCAGGCGCAACATTTTCAAGCTATACAGCGAGCCCGCCGCAGGCGCCGATTTCTTGTTAAAACAATGCAGGTGGGTCGCGGGTTGGATCGTAGGTGGGTCGCGGGTGGGTCGACGGTGGGTCGCGGGTGGGTCACGGGCCAGGTCGCGGGTGGGTCGCGGGTGGATCGCGGGTGGGTCGCGGGTGGGTCGCCAGCGGGTGACGGGGTGGGTCGCGGGTGGGTCGCGGGGTGGGTCGCGGGTGGGTCGCCGGCCGGGTCGCGGGTGGGACGACGACAACAAACAACAACAACAACAACAACAACAACAACAACAACAACAACAACAACAAGAACAATCATTTTACCCGAACGCTCAGTGTTCTCCCCAGTGCCAGGGTTTTCTTGCGACACCAGCCAATACCCCCACTTCGTGGGGGGGCCGTTCAAGCTCTACCAAATATCCAAACGACTCTTCGAGACCACCCACACCCAGCTTCCCGCCCTATGACGTTGGGACACTTCACTTCGTGGCGTGCGGACGACCCTGGCTACTACACTGGCGTGGGGTACACACCCACAGAGGTTGATCACATCTGTTACATATGATGTGGTACACGGTACACGTGAGATGGTACGCAGTGCCAAGATAGTTGGTCACATTTTTGGGGCAAATTCGTGGGGATGCGATTACAGAAGTACATGTGTTACACTGATGTTATACAGTCCCAAGGATGACGCATGCATTGCTCATAGACTCATGGCGCTATGATCCTAACTCTCAGTGCCCAACGCGCGCGTGCACAGCCAGACGGAGGGAGAGAAACACATGTATACAAGGTTCGTGACATACGCACGGTCCACCATGTTGTAAACGATCGCATGCACGTAAGTGCTGAAATTATACGGATGAGAAAGTAGTGCGTTTTCATATGTTTTCTGAACATCGCATCTTGAAATTATTGAAAACCCATTGTGTTTGGCAGGATTTCGACATGCGCGCGCGGCGGCCGCGCGCATGTGCACTTCGTCTCATTTTTTGCAAGGGATGGTGGCCCTCGCAGGCGCGCAACCGTTGTTGGAGAAGTTCAAAGCACCTGAAGAAGTAGCACGCAAAGACCCTTTTGACAGAAATGTTTAAAAAGTGGTGTGTTTCCTATGAATCCGCAAGAGCGCGCGGAAGGACATTTTGACAATTTTTTCTTAAAAAACCATTGGGTTTTTGATGTTTTTATGTTAAAATCGCTACGAAACCTAAGGTTTTGGAAGGATTTCGTCTTGCGCGCACGAATGTCCACTTTACCTTATTTTTTGCAAGGGATTCTTGCAATTTGATCAAGTAAAAACAAGAATTTTCATTTTCTATTGTTTTTTGCAAGGGAAAACGAGCGTCAACAAAAAACCGGATCCGGAGCTCATCCACTTTTCTGAAGCTTTCGCGAAAAAATGATGAAAATGTAGCTGCGGCCTAGGCGCGGCGCAGAGGTCGCGCACCAGGGGTCCCAACAATAATAATTCTTTAGAAGGAATAATGTTCAACAACAACAACAACAACAAGTAAAACAACAACAACAACAAGTAAAACAACAACAACAACAACAACAACAACAACAACAACAACAACAACAACAGCAACAGCAACAACAACAACGCAACAAGCAGAATCTTCACCACGGATCCGCACTTAAGCGGATCCGTGGTGACGACTATGCTTGTTGTTGTTGCTGTTGTTGTTGTGATTGTTGTTGTTGTTGTTATTGTTGTTGTTGTTGTTGTTGTTGTGGTTGTTGTTGTTGTTGTTGTTGTTGTTGTTGTTGTTGTTGTTGTTTGTTGTCGTCGTCCCCCCCGCGACCCGGCCAGCGACCCACCTGCGACCCACCCCGCGATCCACTCGCGACCCACCGCGCGACCCGCTCGCGACCCACCCGCGACCCACCCGCGACCCACCCGCGACCCACCCGCGACCTGGCCCGCGACCCACCCGCGATCTACCGCCGACCATGCCCCCCCTCGACCCACCTGCGATCCAACCCGCGACCCACCTACATTGTTTTAGCAAAAAATCGGCGCCTGCGGCGGGCTCGCTGTATAGCTTGAAAATGTTGCGCCTGTGGCGGGCTTGTTCAGAGCCTCGCAAGCTGCTGACGTCCCTGCCACCTACACACATACATACATGAATACACGCATGCATACACAAATACATACATACATACATACATACATACATACATACGTACGTACGTACGTACGTACGTACGTACATATACACGTACATCGATATATACATACGTACATGCATGCGTGTATACAAATGTGTATATATAAATGCGTATATTTACATATATACATGCATGCATCTATGTATACAAACATACATACACATATACATACATACATACATACATACATACATACGTACATACGTACATACGTACATACGTACATATGTACATGTATATATACATGCATGCATACATGCATGCATGTATATATGCGTACATACATACATACGTACATGCATGAATGCATGCATGCATACATACATACATACATACGTACATACATACATACATACATCAGAGTGAGGGCCAAACGGTCATTCAGTGTCCCTGGGTGCGTGGCTGAAGTGGAATTCCGTGGTGCGGATTATCGTTGTTGTTGTTGTTTGTTGTTGTTGTTTGTTGTTGTTTGTTGTTGTTGTTTGTTGTTGTTGTTTGTTGTCGTCGTCCCACCCGCAACCCGCCCCGCGACCCACCCGCGACCCACGCCGCGACCCAACCCGCGACCCACCCGCGACCCACCCGCGACCCACCCGCGACCCACCCCGCGACCCACCCCGCGACCTACCCCGCGACCTACCCCGCGACCCACCCCGCGACCCGCCCGCGGCCCACCCCGCGACCCACCCGCGACCCACCCGCGACCCACCCGCGACCCGCCCGCGACCTACCCCGCGACCCACCCGCGACCCACCCGCGACCCAAACCACGTTCAAGGTACAAACCACCATTATCGGCGCTTGCGGCGGGCTTTTTTGGCATTCCTTCCAGGTGGAGAGCCCGCGACCCACCCCGTGACCAACTCGCGACCAACCCGCGACCCAAACCACGCTCAGGGTACAAACTACATTTTTCGGCGCCTGCGGCGGGCATCTTTTGCATTCGTTTCAGGTGGAGAGCCCGCGGCCCACCCGCGACCACGTTCAGGGTACAAACCACAGCGGCGGGCATCTTTTGCATTCGTTCCCGGTGGAGAACCCGCGGCCCACCCGCGACCCAAACCACGTTCAGTGTACAAACGAATTTTTTCGGCGCCTGCGGCGGGCTGCTTTTGCATTCCTTCCAGGTGGAGGTGGAGAGCCCGCGACCCACCCGCGACCTAAACCACGTTCACTGAACAAACCAATGCCGCACAAGCGCGGCTGCTGATTTGTGCATGCTGTCTGAGCCCGCAAGGACCTCTTCAAGCCCCGCGCATCCACACCAACCCGTCCAGCAACTCTGCCCTGGCGAGTTGCCTTGATCAGAGAAGGCGGGGAGCATAAAGTGGAAAAAAAGATTGCGTTGCAGATATCTTGGGAAAAGAGGGGGAGGCAGGAGGAGTAAACAGGGGACGAGGAGAACGCGGAAGAAGAGAGGATGTAAGGAGAATGTGGAGAAAGAAAAGGAGGAGGAGCAGGAGGACGAGAAGGGGGAGGAGGGGGAGGAGGGGGAGGAGGAGGACGAGGACGGGGAGGAGGGGGAGGATGATGATGATGGGCGACAATGGGAGGACGATGATGGAGGCCGATGAGGGGGGGACGACAATGGGAGGACGATGATGAAAGGACGAGGGGGGAGAGGGAGGACGAGGAAGAAGAGGAGGAGGAGGAGGACGAGGTGGAGGAGGAGGATGACGATGACGATGAGGACAAGGACGAGGAGGAGGAGGAGGAGGAGAGCGCCATCGACAGGAAGGTGGGGGCCACGAGGTCCGCCGTCTCGACGACGCTCGCGTCGCCCGCGCCCGCCCCCTCACTCTTATCCGCAATTGCGGGGTGCTACGTACATACATACATACATACATACACACATACATTACATTACATTACACTACATTACATTACATTACATTGCATTACATTACATTACATTACATTACATTGCATTGCATTACATTACATTACATTACATTACATTACATTACATTACATTACATTACATTACATTACATTACATTACATTACATTACATTACATTACATTAAATTACATGACATTACATGACATTAATACATACATACATACATGCATACAAAATACATACATACATACATACATACATACATACATACATACATACATACATACATACATACATACATACATACATACATACATACACACGCGTAACACCCGTTCCGTTGCGGATAAAAGTGAGGGGGCAACAAGGATGTCTGCAATTTGCGAGGCTCTGATGAAGCTCGCCACAGGCGCAAAATTCTCAAGCTATACAACGAGCCAACCGCAGGCGCCGATTTTTGTTAAAACAATGTAGGTGGGTCGCGGGTTGGGTCGCGGGTGGGTCGCGGGTGGGTCGGCGGTGGGTCGCGGGTAGGTCGCGGGTGGGTCGCGGGTGGGTCGCGGGTGGGACGCGAGCGGGTCGCGGGGTGGGTCGCGGGTGGGTCGCGGGGTGGGTCGCGGGTGGGTCGCGGGCCGTGTCGCGTGGGGGACGACAACAACAAACAACAATCACAACAACAACAACAAGAACAACAACAACCCTCACCACGGATCTGCACTTAAGCCGCGCACCCAGGGACAATGAATGACCGTTCTGCCCCCTCACTCTGACATACATACATACATAAATGCATGCATGCATGCATGCATGCATGCATACATACATTCATACACACATACACACATACATACATTCAAACGTACACTTATACATATACGTATACATCTTTCCCCAAACAATGTGTGCACCCAAGGTGTCTCGTACCTGGCTTTCTAAACTCATTGGATCGGTTTCCGGGATTTCGTCACCTTGGCGCCCGTGCCCGTTCGTTTTCGCCTCTCGGGCGCCCCGTGCGCTGCGTGGATTTCCCGAACATTCGCCGCGTTGGCGCCCGCGCCCGCTCGTGAGCGCCCCGTGGGCGCCCCGTGCGTCTACACCACATAGCGTGCACAACATGGCGTACTCCACATAGCTTGCACCACGTAGAGTGCAACACACAGCTCACACCGCATAGCCGCATAGCTTATACTGCACAGTTTGCACCACATACCCTACGCCTCATTTACTACAAAGAGTGGTTTTCACATCAGACTTAACACCACATGGATTAAACAACATGCCTTACACCATGATAAAATCGGCCACGCAACAGAATGTACACATCATAACGCAGACAAAAGTACGTGCACCATGCAGCGCAAACCACAGAGCTCACACAGCATAGCTTACAGCACATAGCGTACACGACAGCGCCTGCACCACATAGCTGTCTTTCCTTCCCTTAAAGGACATGCGGTTCACATACGTGTAACCGGACAAGATGAGAATAATAGGTCCAGGCACCATTCTGCAGCGAGTGCTTCGGCAACGAAGGCCGATGACAAGGCTCCAAGCAATTTTCCAGAACGGAGCAGGAGATCTCTCGCCCCTGAAAAATATGCGAGGACGGCAACACCAGCAGCTGCTTCACCCGAGCCGCGCCTGGCACCGTCGAAACGTAGACGGTACTTGACTGCACTGGTTCGTGTTGTTTCCACGCTATCGCGGTGCACGCGCAACGAAACAGCCCTCGGTCCTGAGCTTTATCGGCGGCGTCATCCGCAAGGGCATCGTAATAGCGCGAATCCCACTCAACGAACTCAGTGGTCTGTTTCCGGGGCTAGATGTTCAGATGGTGAAAAGTCAGCAGTGACTCGGAAATGCGGCGTACGAACAACGGCCTGCAATGATCACCTTTCAGAACTGACACGCCACCATGGACAATATGTTGGTTATCTGCATGCATTCAAACACGCCGCCCAAGTAAGTCCCTGGAACACTCGCGAGGGCTAGGCTTCGAAAGCTCAGAATCCACCGCCAGGAAGCGCACCGTGACCGGCGTCCAAAAACCACATTTTGCTCGTTCCGCCCGTTGCGCTGGAAGGCCCCACTGATTTCAGAGGTCCTCAGAAGACTGTTCGAACGTCTTCACCCAATTTTCCCTGGAAGAACAAGTTCGTCGATGCACCTGCCAATCGCCTCCGCTCGTCTGCCATGCGCAAGTGAAATGATGCTCCCAAGATTTCACTGGATGCCCCGTTGTCGAACGCACGATCCCCAACCGACGTCGCTTTGCATAATACGCAAGCGTTCGTGTTGTCCCCACCCACACCGTCGATCGGCAGTCGCGTGCTACTGCAAGCTGGTTTTCAGCAGAATCTAAATTCCACAAGTGCTTGTCCCAATCCGACTGAATTACAGCATGCGTCGCACGCACACAAACAAAACCGCCGACCCTGTCGGCGCGCGTGAGGGGTCTGTCTGACCCCGTCGACGGGACGCCTTTTCTGTTTATCCTTCCCCGTCGGGAGGGAGAGAGCACTCTCCCGTCGTCGGGGGAAGGAGTCTGGGGATTGAGGGGAATCGACCCACGTTGTAGTCAAGTCAAAGGGAAGCCCCTTCCCTTTGTCCCTTCCCCGGCGAGGGGGGGGTCCCGGGGGGGGTTCAGACTCGCATCGCCTCTGGGGGTCCTCCTCTCCCACGCTGGTCCTTCTCCGGCGCGCCGGTCCTCATCGGGTCCTCCCCCCCAAGTGGAGAGGAATCCCAAAGGGGGGGATGGGAGTCATATGCGCATCCGTCCCTGGGGGTCCTCCTCCCCCTCCCCTCCCCTCTCCCACGCCACCTTCCTCCAGTCCTCCTCCCCAGGGGGGGGGTCCAGGAAGGAGTCCTTTTCCTCCTCCTTTTCCTCCTCCTCCTCTTCCTCCTCCTCCTCCTCCTCCTGATTCCCGCCTCGTTATCTCCGCCTCCTCCTCCTCTTCTTCTTCCTCGGAAAGCTCGGAATGAAGTCTCCACACTAGCATGCTAATGGAGGACTGAAGCAACGACGCTCTGATGCGAGGTCGTACGCACGCTGTTGCGTGCTGGCAGTCCACGCAACACTCTGCAGGTGTTTCCGATTCCCTCCCGCCCCTTGTCATACACACATCCCCCAGACCCAGACCACCTCCCTCCAAGCTCAGGCCAACATAGGAACCGTCGCAAGGGACATACCTCTAACACAACGGAGTCGACTAAAGCGGTGTCTGGATCATCGGCTGGGCATGCCAAGTCTGAAACTGTTGTACGTTTGGCCTTTCAGGTCAATGAAAGTTGTAGAATTGACGATTTGCCAGCCGGCTTGGTGTAACCATGAGATAATCAAGCTGATGGGCCCTTTCATACGTTGGTGCCACGAGTTGTGCTTGACCTTGTCAAATGCTTGCAATGCTGCATCAAATGCGTCCCTTAGCTGTGACGGTGACAGAGTGCCTTGAAACAACCAGGTTCGAGTTGCCTGTGATTGCCATCTTACCGATGGCTAGCTTTAAGAGCAGCGAGTCTAATGTTTGTTTCAACTCGAAGCCTGCATCAACAATCGCTTGCACGCATGCACTGATACTTTCAGCCCATGCCCACAATGTCAAGTCATCAACGTGCACGGCGGCCTCGGCGCTGGCGAGGGAGAGGTTGTTGACGGAGGGGAGGAGGTAGGCTTTAGCTCCGTACGTTCCCGTGGAGCCCCCAGCCGTTATCCCTTTTGTGGCATATGCTACATCTGTAATAATGCCTTCAAGCATGAGCCTCCTACCCCACCGGTATACATTAATCATGAAGTACAGCACGTGCAAAGGATACTTCGCTGCATGCGCTTGCCCGTGCAACAGCTCATGATCGATCGTTTCGAAATACGCTTTGAGGTCCCAAAGGAGTGCGAGGTAATGCATGGACCAATACGTGGCAGATTCGGCCTTGACTGCTTGCCTCCATACTGTGTCCTCACGGCTCCTGCGGCTAGATGCCGAAAACTGTCCTCCTGAACCTTCCTTCCGTTCCCATTCTCTGCATGTCCTCGCTTGCAGCTTTCCCTGAATCCTGTACAATGCTGGGACATGGCCCAATACTCTCCTTCCCCCCCTTTTGTGTTTCCTCGCCAGTAATAGTATAATGGACTGCATCTGCTGCGGGGCGTCGGAAAGGATGTTCATGATAGTAAAGAGCTTACCCATGACCTCAAGGGTTGAATCTTCAGGGAGTCCAAAATGCTTGGGATGAAACCCGTCAGGAGCACAGGTGCGCGCCTTGAACTTCTTTGATATCTGGCGAAGGTCATCTGGTTCAGGCGGCGGCGGAAGCAGCAGTGGTGGTCTAACAACCATGAACGTGGGAACGTCGTTGGGTTCATTGGTAGCTTGCCATTTCTCCATCCATATGGCTCTTTGATCTTGGAGCAGCTCCGGAATAGAACTTGAGATGCCAAACTCCGATTGGACTTCTTCCAAGGATAAATCGTTGGGCCCTTTGATGTGCCTATATGCCATACTAGAACTGCCTTCAGCGGCTTGGTCGCACCATGCTTGCCGCTTGTGGCGGGATTGGATGCGGCCCCCAGTTTCGAGAGCTTGCTGGAGGTGTGAGACTTGGGCCAGCGTAAACTCAAGCAGCGTAACTGCTTGGCTTTGAAATGCTTGCCTGACGACATCAGCCAACTGCTGCATAGGTAATCGTAAGCTTGTAAGGCCATCTTTCCAGAATTTGGTAAAGGGCCCGTGCTTACCTATGTCGTCGAGGGAGGTCACGAGCTCGGTGGTATAGTTGACTATATTGCCTGACAGATATCGGTGATATAGTTCACTGAGACGACGGGTTATCCAGTGGACCGCTCGTGCTGTGTGCTCCATGCGGTAATGCTTCGTCTTCATCATGCTTGCAAGAGTGACCTTAGTGAACCTTTGCTGGGAGCCAGGAGGGATCCCTTTAGGTCGCTCACCTGTGACATCTTGAAATTGTTGTGTAACTGCTTCGGTCCATTGTTGGTAAATGGAGTTGAGTTGTTGTTGTAGCTCGTCTCGTGATCCGTCATCTCCTGCAAGAGACCATATTGTGCCATCTTCGCTCTTGTGCCGGGATATGATCGCGTCGAACTTAGTGCTGAGTTGAGTGACGTCTGGAGGGGGCGCTCTGGGCCCAATCCGTTGTTCTGTCGGGTATACTGCATATTTAACTGGGACAGAGACGCGCATGTCACGCGCGGCTTTTGCAAGCGACGACTGCACAGGACGATGAGGAGGAATGGGAGTGGACATGTAAACTTGCACACCCTTCACAGCGCGGCAAAGCACCGTGCTGACAAGGAAGTAATCGATGTGCGTTGCTGCCCCTGCTGCGAACCATGGTTGGGTCCGTTCCTGCTCTGACGTGCACTCCCAATGGTTGCAGCGGCGCATTCTCATGCACAACATCGAATGGCACATTAAAATCCCCTCCGACTATGACAGGGCAGCCGTGCACTGCAATATCTTCCCCCAGGGCTGATAGCATGCTGAGGTTGCAAGGGTCCAAGCCAACCTTGCCCTTCAGATACATGGAGTACACGGCGATGGTTCCGAAACTTCGGGTGCGAAGAAAGCACCTGCATAGCCGGCCCTTGAACAAACTTGCTGGAGCTCTGCCACTAAAAATGTCGAGATGGTTTTTAGCCAATATGCATGTTCCTGCAGCTGCCCCTTTGCTAGGTCCGTCTATGGCTTCTGTGGAGATACACCGCCATCCTTTTGACCGAAAGTGCGCAACCGCATACTCATGCTTGTCTCCTCGAGCGCGGCGTTCCTGGATGAAGACTATGTCCCAGAGTTGACCACCCACTCGTATTGGCTGCGGTGATCGCGAGGGCCCCTCTAGACTTAGCCCCCGACTTGCCCGACTGCTGGGAATCCCCCTGGCTCTTGGGGTTCTTGTCTGGAGGGTGGTGGGCCTCTGGCCCCGCTGCTTGCTGAATGGGCACCCTCCGCTGCTGCTCCCGCTGGTGGGGGCCCGACTCCCAGAACGACTTTCTTTGCCGGGTGTTCGGAGAGCTGCTGGGCCAGGGCCGAGATTTGCTCCGGCTGCTGGCCGCCAGCGGCCCCCGCCGTTTTGAAGGCAGCTGCGAGGTCCCCAGCTTCCACACCAGCTCTACAGCGCGCGGAACCTTTAGATCGCTGAGGAGCCCCATAGTCCAGCCGAAAAACCCCATCGTCCCCCATGGGAGCAAGATCTTCTGCATGCTGCTCCTCTGCTGCTTCATCTGCGTAGCTTCGAAATATGCCCTGGCCCATTTTCCTGCCTTCGCCCATGCTAGACACCCCCGACTCATCGTCCTCAACGTCGACCCCTCCATTCTCCTACTCCTTATAGACATGGTCGTAATGGGCAAGTAGCTCGTCTTTGTTGGGATGGGACATGATGACCTGGTCCCAATAGCCGAGCTTCCTTTCAAGAGTTGCAACGGTTGGGCCTGCGGACGTCTGCTCAATTGTCTCTGCGTTCTGGATGCGGAGCGATTCCATTTCCACGTCGAGCTCAGAAATTTGTTCCAAAAGATTTGCTCTGGTGGCCTGGACGTGCTCAACGAGAATGTCGCAATGAGAGACGTCCTCCGCCAACTTAGCCCTTCGCTTCTCTTTCCTGCCCATGACTTGTTCGATTTTATACGTGAGCTTGGAGAGGTACGGAGGTCCGGGGCTTAGGTGCTTCCTGGGGCTTGGCAATTTCTTCAGCCATCCGATACAACAAACGTGCTGGTCCATTGCCGTGCTGCTCTGCATGTGCTCTGGCTCCTCCTGCTGCTTCCCCGTCGTCAGCTCCTTCCAATCCTTTGCCCCCTTTCTGCCCCATTGCCCTTCTTTACCTCTCCCTTCCCGTTGCCGCCGCCCTTGAAGCAGTTGGCCCTCACGTCGATGTCTTCGTGCCATGGTGGTGGCCTTGCAATGTAAAGACCTGCTCTGGACTGGCCTGGCGGGCGGGGATAAGACTGGAAACCGTACTTGCTGTGGGCCTTCGGGGGCTGGCTGAGGGCCCGCGGCCACTGACCCCCTTTGTAGCCTGGACCACCTCCACCCACGGGCGCAGCGGGCCAGCTGCAGGCTTCGGACCGGGGCGCTGAAGTACCCGAGGTCGACAGACGACCCCCGCAATGATAGCAACACTTCTGCCAAGATAAGTGCTTTTTGCACCCGCACGATGGGCAGGTGATATTATGGTGCTGCGCCCCCCCACGGCTGCACATGTGAGCGCTGGGAACTGATTATGCAACCAGTTAGTGCATGGAAGGATATGGAAGTCCACACCTGGCCGGGCAGCCTTCTGCGGTGGGACGAAGAAAACACGCGCGCGGACGCCTCCTTGGGGGTGGGGGTTTAGAATTCCCACAGATTTTGCCTTGAGCCAAAACGGCTACGGCCCTTCTTCTTCCTCCTCCTCCCCCTCCTCGCCCCCCCCCCCCCGGTCGTCGCCGGTGTCTTTCAGGGTCGGCGGCGCCGACCGTCAGGCCTCCACAATACAGCATGCGTCGCACGCACAAAAACAGCTGCTGACATCTACTTTCCGACACAATTCAAAATTCGCGGGTCAACTTGCATTGCCGATGCGTCGGGGCGGCGGCGAAAACGAAACATCCTCCACAACTTCTGAAGCTCCCACGTCATATATTTACGCAACAAGACGGCAGTAAGGTGCCAATTCTCTGAAACGGGTACGGCGCAAGCTGCGGGGCCCGTCGCCCAAGCTTGAAGCTGCTTCAAGACTGGCGCGCATCGGACCTGCAACGTGCACTGGCGTCGGTAGTGACATTCCTAGGCAGGGCCAAAATTTGAATCCACGCTGTCGCCCGTGGCTCCTCTGGGGCCCAGATATTCGCTAAATAACCTAAGCCCGTGTTCCTGCTAGTTCAATAACGCGGTTCTGGGCCGCTACAAATATAAGAGCCCGATGGAATTGCCACCGAAGTCCCACCGCACATCTAGCAACTCCAGAGTCCGCTTCGAATATCGCTCACCGCGAGAATTATGAGATTGAGCGATGAACTCGTCAAGCTGATGCATCATATGCTGCATCATGCCCTCCCCAAGGGCAAGATAATATTAGGCTGTCGGCCCAAATCGCACGGTTGACAAAAAGATCAGATCCTCTATCATCCAATTCTGGCCTCCATCCACAATCTGACGAGTGGCTCCAACACGCGTCGTAGAAGTGCCCTCCACTCATCTGGCGTTACCATTCCGCCCTGCTTGCCTCGTTCTGCAAATTGGGATCGCCCAGTCTCGCCTACCGGGGTTAGGCGGATGCTGGCTTCAAGCCCGCTCAGTTCCCGCATGAAGAAGCCGCCGCCGTGCGAAGACATCCCGCGAGCGAGCAGGGAATCCTTCGCCAGCCAATGCGGCATGGAGTCGAACGCGAACGCCCTGGCACTCGACTATCACTGGTGGGCCCAAAACGTGATAGAGATGACGAACTTCTCACACCAGCCCAGTCATCTTCCTCGTGGAAATCCCATTTCGGAATCCGTAGGAGTGGACGCAGGATGGACGCACTTGGCCTGGCCTGAGCATGGGACGCAATGCTCGCATAAACCATGTTTCAAGGTTGGCTGTTTCGCAGGTCCCGCGTAGGTCTTCGAATCGTTCCATAGCTTTCGTCTTGGGCAAGCCTCAAAATTCCGAAATGCACCAAAAAGGCGATCGCGGAACCGATGGGCCCAACAAAACGCACTTCTGAAAAAATGATACGGAATATACCGAAAACGGGATCACGTGATACACATCCGGGGAAATACCATCGGCCCCTGCACCCCTACTTTCCGCAAGAAGGCCCTCGCTTGCATGACATTCCAAAGCTTGATGTTCTCGCCACCGCGGCCGTCCAAGCGGCCATCACAAGCTGCCGACCACAGCTGTTGCATCCGCTTGCGTTGCCACGAGGGTGGTTTGTCCGGGTCCGTGAAGCGACCGGCGCCGAACTGGAATGCCCCCTCTAGCCACTCCTTTCTGTCCGAGCTTTAGATGCCGTCGATTCCGAAAAAGGCCGATGGAATACTTGGTTCCTTCGCACCGTGTCTTTTCAACCCTTAAAGCCGCTCACGGGAAACAGATGCTGCCATGGCCCTCCTAGACACCCAATACAAGTTCAGCAATGATCTCATCCTCCCCGTGTCGGTTGAGAGCCTCAGGAGCGCCCAGCTGTCCTTGATCCGCGCGCGGTGCTGTCCTTTGCCATCGTCTTCTGGGCGGTCACAGTCGGCAAAAAAATACTCCTATGATCTTGAACAGAACCTTTTCGAACTCGCCCAAAGGAAAATCGAATCACATCAGGCCAGAAGACGAAGGATCTGAATGCCTCCCGTACCGACGCGTCGGATATAGCCCGCTTAAAAGTCACATAGATTTTTGGTGCGAGGCTAAGCCCTGAGAACCAAATCCATCACCACTCACTACCTATGTGATCTCGGTTTTGACGACTGTGGCCCAGTTGTTTTATCAGGGGGCTCTCATTACGAATGTCAAAATAGTTAAGAGCACGACCAGCGACCTGTAGCATAGAGGATAACTACTCCGATGTAGTCGACTGAGATCTATCCCACGGCCGGCGTTTCAGACCACACGTTCATAGTTCCCCGCGCGACGCGCGGGTGCCATTTGCATTGACCGATCGTATGCCCAACACTTCCATCTATGAAATGATCCGGCGGTACATCCCTACTATGTGGGAGCGGAGAGGGCGCAGCACAGTCTCTGCAGTTACGCCCTCAATGCTTCCTGGAAGCATCACGTTGGCATCGAAACCGCAAACCCCGCATAGACTTCGTCCAAAGCGTTTCTCTCTGACAGTCCCTCCAATATGCTACTGTCTCCTCCCGCACCTCATCAACAAAATCGCATGCCTCATACTCTTCCTCATTCCCCTTGCCCATGGATAGAATGTGCACGCAAAATTAACATATAGCCGCCTGGGCCTTGTGCCAGAACAAGGCCACCTCAATATTTGCCAGACCTCCCGTCCATCACCTCCGGATTCAGGCTTCCCTGCACCAAGAAGCCACAATCGAATCAACTCACCCCGGCATGTTCGGCCCTCATGGTACGGCTGCTATGTGCAACACACCTGTGGAACTAATTGCGCCCACTGGTCCACTTCGGGATCTCCTGCAGGCACACAACATCGTCCCCAGCACACAAACGGTTCAAACATCTGCTGATCCGAAGTATTTCACGTGGATTATTGTGGACGTTGTGAGCGATAACCGAGCAGCCTCCGCCCCCGAATTCAGCGGCGGATCCCCCTACTGCCTAGTGAAGGGTCCCTTCCTCCGGACCCGCCTGACTCCTTTTTCTGCGGCTGTTTTCGACAGACCACCGACCCGAAGACCTGCTCCAAGCTGAGCCTCGCCTAACACTGTACTTGGCTTAACACCCATATTCCCCTCCGTGTCAGACTTGTTGATAACCAATTTAAAATCTGGGCTCCAATTCACTTTCGGCTCCAACGTCGCATCGATACCATCCCGCACTCAGTCCTTGACGCGCCAGAATTTAGTGTACTACGGTATACTGCGCCTGGACGTCGGGGTGGTTCTCGGCGCGCACGTAGATCACGGTGTCCACCTTGTTCCAATTCTTGTCTTCGTTTGTGAGATACTCGTACCAGATCCCACAGATCTCCTATGGGTGCTCGGGCGTCATAAGGATCTTGATGGCGTGGTTCCTGGGCCCCTTGCGCTGCATCTCCCTGAGGTGCTCACGGGGCTCCAGCGGAAGCTTGCCCTTCAACTCCAAGACCAATTCGGTGGCCTCGGTCCTGTTCATCCCCTTGGCGGATGTGTTATCCCGCTCGCACAACTCCGTGATTTCGACGAACGTGACGTGGCACGCCAGGAGCTCGCAGGCTGACCCGTCTCGAGCTTCCCGACCCGCTTTTCCAAATCTTCTTGGGACTGCTCGATGCCCGTGACATCCCCCTTTCAAAGTCTGGACATCCTGTTTGATCGAGCCCAACATGTCCTTCCTCTTATCCTCCTGCTTTTTCAACAGGCTGTCCTAAGCGTTCGCCCACCATGCCAGAGGTAAAGCCATCCTGAGAGAAGTATGAGGCGAAGGATGTGGTATGTGAGAGACCTCACCCTGAGACCTCACCCTTGCACCACATAGCTCACATCATAAAGCTTCACCAACATAGCTGACACCGCATAGCTTACACCAGCTATACTGCACTTCTTCAATGCAATAACTCATTACTTGGGGTCCGCGTCGGCTAACAGTATACGTACTTGCTTGTTTGCCTCAAGGGGCATCTGGGGACCAGAGCCCAGGTCAAGCAAAGAGCAGGGGGAGATGCGAGAGCACCAGCAGCAGGATGCGCAGCGCCTCCTCCACCTCGTCATCACCATTACCACCACCACCGCGATCATTATCATTAAGGTCGTTGCCGCCATGATCATAGTATTCATCATGATCATCATCATCATAGTCATCCTCCTCCTCCAACTCCTCCACATCATCATCATCAGCATCATCATCATCATCATCATCATCATCATCATCATCAGCATCAGCATCAGCATCAGCATCAGCATCATCATTATCATCGGCAGCAGCATCAGCACCAGCATCAGCATAAGCAGCATCATCACCACCACCATCACCCTAGTCATCATCAGCATCATCATCACACTCATCAGCACAATCATCATCAGCAACAACAAAATCATCATCATCAGGGTTCGAGCAAAAAAGTGATGTTCGTCTTCGTGGTGGTGTTGCTTTATTCGTGATATTTTCGTTCTGCCGTTGCTGCGAAACAAAATCAAAACGAAAACAATCCACGAGATCGACAAAACATCGTTTGGCCCGAGTCCTGATCATCAGCATTATCATTAGCACCTTCCTCATCATCAGCAGCATCGTCATCATCGTCATCATCATCATCATTAGCATCATCACCATCATCACCACCATCATCGGCACCGTCATCACATCATCATCAGCAGCATCAGCATCAGCAGCATCGTCATCATCATCATCATCCTTATCATCCTCACCATCAACATCATCGTCATCATCATCATCACCACCACCATCATCATCATCGTCATCGTCATCGTCATCGTCAGAGTCGTCGTCATAATCATCGTTTTCATTATCTGAGGTTGGGGGGTGAGATCGCAGTGGAATGTAGAGCCCCCCCCACGGGGAAATCGGTTTCGATTTCGCGTTCGTGTCGTGCGTGCGGGCGAGGCGAAGCTGCGTGGGCGCGCGAGATGAATCACTCCGCCGTCGCTCAGGCGATTCGTATGCAATGGACCGCCCCTCCACCCCGGGTGGTCGCGAGGTGGCCCGGGGTGTCCCTCCGTGGTGTCCTGTGGTGTCCCGTTGGTGTCACGTTGGTGTCCCGTCAGTCTTCCGTCGGCGGTGGGCGGGCGGTGGCCAGGAGTGTCCCGCCTTGGCATCGACAGTGAAGTCGACATTGAAATCGATAACGAGATCGCTAGAACGGGATGGATACTGAGATCAAAAATGAGAGCGACAGTGAGGTTGATTGCGACATTGATTGTGAGATAGAAAGCGGGGACAATAGTGACATTACATCGCAGTGCAACATCGTCATCACGCGTCGTCGCTAACTCGAGTGCGCGTCACAAGGATCTTCGTCATCACACCCGTCGCATTTGCCAGCAGTTGGTTCTTTCCCCCCAACAGGGTGGTCGTATAGGTCACTCGAATTGTTTCACGCTTTTGCCGATTTGGGGGCACCCAGGGTCCTCTGGGGGATCTCCCAGGACCTACGGAAGCTCCCAGGGACCTCCGCAGACCGCGGTGGACCTCTGGAGACCTCCCAGCTTGAGGTCAGATCGGGGGCAGGAGCGCGAGGACGAGGATGCGCAGCAGCAGCAGCAGCAGGAACACGGTATGTGAAAGGGATGGCCGGTCCAAATAGCCAAAGTGTCTGCGCCCAACCCCTGAGCACAAAGCCCGCACTGAAAGTCGGGATGCTCCCCAGAGACGCGTGCGCTGTGGGGGCTTCGCACAACCTGGCAAGAGAGTGAAGGTAGAACGGAGAACGCGATGTGTACCAGTGGGGAAAGGCAGCCTGGATTGCCCCGAGCGCCAAGGCGTTTCTGCGCTATCTTCCACACGGTGAGGACGGCGGGCGCTGTGCCAGGGTGACGGAACCCTTGGTCAAACGAAGTGAACAGGAGCGTGAGCATACGGAGAATGGGCTCTGAGGGTAACAGGCGGCCCCTGCTTTGGCGGATACCCCGACCCCGCGGGGCCGCTGAATGCTGGAGGGGATCAAGGAAAGGTCGTGGACAGCGTGATTTGGTGTAGCTGGACAGCGAAGGCGAGGGTCAAGATGTGCCCTCTGATGCTGGAGCAGGATTCTGCAGCCGCACGCGAGCCCGACCCCTGCCCCGGACGACAATGGGGTCTCCGACACCCCGCGCGCGGCGTCCACTCTGCCGCAAACACGGTTCAGGTTCTGGGGGGGGCGACATCTGCTCATGTTTTTGAATGCGAAGCGACAATATCAACGACACGCCGCCGTGGGGAAGCCATCAGCGCTTCACTGCCAAAGAAGCACCAGGATTTCGGAGGGATAAAAACCTTTTTTTACAACAAAAGACAACAATAATAATAATAATAATAATAATAATAATAATAATAGCAGCAACAACAACAACAACAACAACAATCATTTTACCCGAACGCTCAGTGTTCTCCCCAGTGCCAGGGTTTTCATGCGACGCCAGCCAATACCCCCACTTCGTGGGGGGGCAATGCAAGCTCTACCAAACATCCACACGACTCTCGGGAACCACCCACACCCAGCTTCCCGCCCTATGACGTCAGGACACTTCACTTCGTGGCGCGCGGACGATCGTGGATACTACACTGGCGTGGAGTACACACCCGCAGAGGTTGATCACTTGTTTGGGCCCCGCATGTGCCCCGCATGGTGCATTTGTTGCGTATGACATACATAGTACAGAGAGACAGAGAGAGAGAGAGAGAGAGAGAGCAAGACAGAGAGCCAGTGGAGAGAGAGATAGAAAGAGATTCGTCACATGTGTGAGGCAACCTGAGAAGATGTGGTACACGGTACACGTGAGATGGTACGCAGTGCCAAGATAGTTGGTCACATTTTTGAGGCAAATTCCTGGGAAGGCGATTACACAAGTAGATGTGTTACGTATGATAGATATGAAGCAGAGAAAGAGCGAGAGACAGAGAGAAGGAGAGAGAGGAGTCGGTCACATCTTTAGGGCAACTTCCTGAGGGATGTGGGAGGACACAAGAGAGAAGGTATCGTTGTCCCGATGGTTGTCTCGATGGTTGCCCCGATGGTTGTCCTGATGGTTATGGTTGTCCCGATCGTTATCCCGATGCTTGTCCAAATGGTTGTCCCGATGGTTGTCCCGATGGTTGTCCCGATGGCTGTCCCGCTGCGATGCAATGTTGTCTGTTTCTGCTGTTATACAGTCCCAAGGATGACGCATGCATTGCTCATACACTGGTGGCGCTGTGATCCTAACTCTCACTGCCCAACGCGCGCGTGCACAGCCAGACGGAGGGAGAGAAAGTACACAAGGTTCGTGACATACGCACGGTCCACCATGTTGTAAACGATCACATGCACGTTTAGTTCTGAAATTATACATATGTACAAGCAGACATGCGAGGGAGACAGGGAGATGGCCATCGACAGTTCCAATACGGCTCCGAGGCGCAAGAGGGGGAGGAGGAGCAGGACAAGGAGGAAAGGAGAGAAGCGAGAAAGGAATAACGCAGACGGCGCGGCTCTGGACACAAAGGGGTGCCATACTTTCTCCTGCTTTCGCAAACAGGTCCAGTCACACGTAGGAGTATACTCACCCAGAAGCATACTAAGGCGACTCGTCGTCTGCGACGTCGCAAAGGCGCTTGGGTACATGGCTGCCTGGCTGATGCAGGTGCGGGCCTGGCTGATACCCGTGCGCTCCCAAATGCCCAATGATATTGCCGATACGCCTGCTGGCGAGAGAGCCGGGGCTTGCATACGGCAGTGCTAACGCGAGCACGTTGTGGACCTGCGGTGGCAAGGCCGGGTAATCGAGAATTTTGACAATTCTTTCTGAGAAAACCATTGGGTTTTTGATGTTTTTATGTTAAAATCGCTACGAAACCTAAGGTTTTGGAAGGATTTCGTCTTGCGCGCACGAATGTCCACTTTACCTTATTTTTTGCAAGGGATTCTTGCAATTTGATCAAGTAAAAACAAGAATTTTCATTTTCTATTGTTTTTTGCAAGGGAAAACGAGCGTCAACAAAAAACCGGATCCGGAGCTCATCCACTTTTCTGAAGCTTTCGCGAAAAAATGATGAAAATGTAGCTGCGGCCTAGGCGCGGCGCAGAGGTCGCGCACCAGGGGTCCCAACAATAATAATTCTTTAGAAGGAATAATGTTCAACAACAAAAAGCAGCATGCCGACGGCCTCCCTCCAGCGGCGTGTCATTGGTACCCATACGGCTACTCCCCAGATCTATCCAGGGGTGCGTTCTGACCAGCATTTCGAAGCGAATCCACCCGTGGCGACGAAGGCCTGTAAGGAGGCCCAAGAAGGCGATTGTGGGCAGCGGAGCCAGCAACTGTTCCTTCACTGATTTCAACGTAGGGGCGTAGCAATTCCTCTCCTCTACTGGAAGCCCCTGCCACGCGGAGGGCGCGCGGCACAGACGACATCGTGCACCACCGCGATGCCGGTGCACATCGGCCCCCAGCCAGGCCAGGGGCCACGCTCGGCGGGTTCGTGTCGTGACGACTTCGGCGTTGGTCTCTGTCACCGCGTGGATCGTTCAACCTTGAAGAATCGGCGGCTTTTCGATCGCCAGATCGTTCCGTATTGGCCGATTTTGGGCCACCGTCGGAGCTCAACCTTGAACGCCCGCGGCAGGGTCGTCGCCGCGTCAGCACGACACGAACCTACCGTACACCAAAACAAGGCCCAAAAAGAGGGCCTGTGCTGGCCTCCCAAACATCTTGGCGCCTCGGAAAAAAAGGGGCGGCCCGTCATTGTCTCCACTTCTGGCCTCCAGAATGTCCGGCTCCGAGGCTCGGGGCCGTCGAAAAAAGACTGGCCTTTTTGGAAAAGCGTCGAGAATGGAGGATCAAAAACGACACGAACATAAACTTTCAGAGGTCCGCGCGGTTTTTTGGGATAGGCGCTGGACCCCAATATCCCTGGTGCGTGGAGCGCGCCAGGGGGGCCCAGAACCGATCTGAGAAACCCGCGCGGAGCTCCGAAAGTTTATGTATATGCAGTTGTTGCTCCTCTTCGAGAGGCCTGCTCGGATGTTGCCAGAAGTGTTCCTGGCACAAGGTGTCCCCGGGATTCCCAAGGAGGCCCCCAACGGTCTCCAAAGCCAGAGAACCCCTGATGAGGCCCAGAGGGCCCCACAGCCTCCAAAATGGAGCGACAAGCTGGGGGCACCGTGGGCCAGGGACACCCCTAGCAACCCCCGACCTGGGGAGCCCACGCATCGAAAAAGCCAAAATGCCCGATAACCAGGCTGGTGGTGGTGTCGATCTGCCCTCTGTGGAATAGGAGCGCCGCACGCGGGGACGCCCGAGGCCTCCTGATCGCGCGTGCCTCTCTGGCCTCTGGCGTCCACCGCCACCCCGGTTCTCACTCGGCGAGGGCGCATCGCCGGAGGTGTTTCAGGTGCTTCGGATGCCTCCAGAGAGGCGCGACAAAAAGGGCGAAGGGGCTACCAAAAGCCTCGAGCCTCGAGGAAGGTCGACGGTGCTCGAGCCTCGATCCTCGAAGAATCCCTCGGTCCTCGATACTCCTCCTCGGAAAGGTTCCTCGATCCTGGAACCTCATCTTCCCTCTCCTCTTCCTCCTCCTCCTCCTCCTCCTCCTCCTCCTCCTTCTCCTCCTCCTCCTCCTCTTCCTCCTCCTTCGCCTCCTCTTCTTCTTCCTCCTCCTCCTCCTCCTCCTCCTCCTTCTCCTCCTCCTCCTCCTCCGTTTCCTCCTCCTCCTCCTCCTCTCTCCTCCTTCTCGCACTAGGAAAGCGTTCTCCTCCTCCCTCCTCCTCCTCCTCCTCCTCCTCCTCCTCCTCCTCCTCCTCCTCCTCCTCCTCCTCCTCCTCCTCCTCCTTCCATCATGGCCCGCCCCTCGCGTTCCCGTTTCCGCGTCGCCAACCGGGCCTCGAACACCCCAAGGAGGCGCTGGAAGTCCTCCTCTCGCGGGCCAGCGGCGATGGGCGGCTGGGCGCCCATCCTGACACATTCCCCTCCTCACTTTCCTCCTCCTCTTACTCCTCCAAGAGTTCCTTCCTCCTCCTCCTCCTCCTCCTCCTCCTCCTCCTCCTCCTCCTCCCCCCCTCCTCATCCTTCTCCTCTCTCTTCCTTCTTCGTTTCCCGATTCTCGTTTCGCGTCTCTGGTCGGGCGCCTGGGCATGAACTGGTTCTGGGGCCTCTATTCCGCCAGCACCAGCTAGGTACCCCTCGCCCACCACGCGGGCATAAGTTACGTAGCCAAATATAAATACACCAGCGAATACTTAAAAGAGAACAGAATCCGCCGACCCCTTGGGGTCATCGGCGTGTGAGATGCTTCCCCCCTCCCCAAACCCCTCCCCCCGGAGCCTGGTCCGGTCGTTTTGGAGGGGGGGGGGGGGGGGTCCGGCCGGATTCCCCGGGATCCGCCGGCGCGGTCCGGGGGGGGTCATCCGCTCCAGAGAGTCTGCTGGGGGGGCCGCAAACGAGCGAAGAGGCTCCCAAGAAGCTCTGCAGACGGTCCAAGAGGGCCCCGAGTCGCCGAAAAAACACTCGAAGACGGTCAAGATGGCCTCCAGATGGCCCCAGATGCCTCCAAGACGCCCCAAGAAGCTTCCAAGACGCCTCCCAAGATGGCCCCAAGAGGCCAAAATCGTCGATTTCCATTGGTTTTTTCAACGTTTTTGGCCTTCGCGTTTTTTCGGGCTTCCGACGCTCCAAGACGGCGAAAGAAGCCCCCAAGACGGCATCAAGACGACCCGAGAGGCTCCCAAGTGGGCCCCAACACGGCCCAAGAGCGCCTCAAAACGGCTCAAGAGGGCCTTCAGACAGTCCAAGAGGGCCCACAGAGGGGCCCAAGAAAGGCTCCAGACGGGGACCACGAACCTAAAATTCTAGCCTTCCGCCCCAAAAGGCGCCAAGGAGGCCCCAAGAGGCCTCCAAGAGGCTCCAAGAAGCCCCCAAGAGGCCCCCAACAAGCCCAAAAAAAGCCCCAAGCTGCCCCAAAACAGCTCCCCAGAAGCCTCCAAACTGCCTCCCGCAGGCCCCCGAGAGGATTCTCACGACGACGGCGCCAGAGGCTCCCACAACGGTCAACGAAGCCCCCAAGATGGCCCCAAAAAGGTGCCCAGCCTACGCCGTCGAGTCTGTCGCCGCCATTGTCGTCCTCGTCGTGTTCTCCTGCTCCTTCTCATCCTCCTCTTCCGCCCCCTCCTCCCGTCTCCCCTCTCAGCTTTCTGTCTCGTATTCCCTCCACTGGCTCACTTTTCACCTTCTCCGCCTTTGGCTGCTCCCCCATCCTCCCTCCTCCACGTCCCCCTTATCCATCCCGTCCCCAGCGGTCAGATTCCTCGCAACTTCCGTGCCTTGTCGCAATGCTCGCAACTTCCGGGCCCCCCAAACGGCGCCCATGCGCGACGGCCCGCCCAACAGCACCCGAACACAGTTCAAGGTCACCACCTGAATCTTTCCCGCAGCTTGCAAAGAAGCCGTGATAACGACCACGCGGAAAAAAAAGGGGTCGGCGGATGTGGCGTAAGCCTATAGAATCCGAAACAAAAAAAATGATAAACGCGAAACAAACATATAAAGCCACCCGCTGGTCGGTGACACTGCATGGCCTGATGGCAGGACACTGCCCTGGCACACGACACCACGCAACAACATTCAACCGCGGGATCGCGTGCACCATCGCCCACCAACCTGTCCAGAGCACACCCCGGCTAAGCGAACTAAAGCTGGGCTAAGTGCGGCTTCCAGGGACGCCTTGCGGGAGCGGCGGGCGGCGGTGCCAAACGGGCACGCACACACACACACACACACACACACTCGCACACGCTCGCTTTTACGCGGTCGCGGCCTCGCGCGCGGCGACGAGGCGGAGTAAGTCGAATACACACACACACACACTTTCGGGCGATCGTGCCCTCGCGCGCAGCGACGAGGCGAAGAAAGACCTCAAGCAACTAGAGCGCGCGCGCGGCCAGCCCCTCAGAAGCTTGAGCCAAGAACCAAAAAGGATCGACCGTGCCATGCGCATACCCGGGCATGGGCAGCGGGGGTGACGTGGTACAGGATGCGGCATGCCAAGAGGCAGGCAAATGGGTGCGCAGTGCGACCATGCGGCCGGGACGAGACGACAAGTAAGGTGGGCCAGCAACAAACAGTACGATGAGGCCGAGGCGGGCGCAGCAGGGCTTAGCGGCCGGCAGCCTGGGTGCGGCCGCGCGGAAGCAGGAGCAACAGCGACAGGCGTGGTACCCAGACGAGGAAGAGGCAACGGCGGCATGGACCCTAAGGAGGACACACACACACACAAACACGCACGCACACGCACACGCACACGCACGCACACGCACACCCACACGCACACGCACACGCACACGCACACGCACACGCACACGCACACGCACACGCACACGCACACGCACCCACGCACACGCACACGCAAACGCACACGTACACGCACACGCACACGCACACCCACACGCACACGCACACCCACACGCACACGCACACGCACACGCACACGCACACGCACACGCACACGTACACGCACACGCACACGCACCCACGCACACGCACACCCACACCCACACGCACACGCACACGCACACGCACACGCACACGCACACGCACACGCACACGCACACGCACAAGCGCACGCATGCACGCACGCACGCACGCACGCACGCGCACACATGCACGCACACATGTACGCACGCACGCACGATCGCACGCACGCAAGCACACATGAACGCGCACCACACGCTCACACGCGCGCGCTCGCGCACGCGAGCGCGAGCGCTTGCACAAGGACGAGCGGGTCCTCGATGACATTCGCGCTCCCCGACCTGGGCGACTGCGCTGCCGCCATGCTTCGAGGCGAGGCCCTCGACCGGGGTCTGCCACCGGCCCCGCTCTGGCCTTCGGCCACACTGGGGACCGCGTCCTCCAGCGCCACCGTGCTGCTTCCGCCGTCTGATGTGATCGTGGCCTCCCTCCTCCAGAGAGGGGGAGAGAGAGAGAGGAAAACAACAAAAAAAACGAAGAGAGGGAGAGAGAGGGAGAGACAAAAAGAAGGGGAGGGGGAGAGGGAGAGGGAGAGAGAGAGAGGGAGAGGTAGAGAGAGAGAGGGAAGGGGGAAAAAAGGAGAAGGAGGGAGGGGGTCTCGTCGCCAAGGCTGGACGCGACGAGGCTCGGAAAGCGGGCCAGCGTGGTCCCTGGGAGGGGGTTCAGGGGGTGGGGCGGCTTCGAGCGGACTCTGGCTGCAGCTCCCTCGAGCTCCAAAAGAAACGAACACCGTAGGCGACGAACTGTCAGGATGGCATCAACTGTACACCTGCACCCTTCATGGCCAGGCCCCCCTGGGCCCAGGACCAGTGTATACGCCCTCCTGGCCTGGGCAGGAAGGCATACACACCGATCCTGGGCCCAAGATAGGCCTAGCCAAGATCGGCGCAGGTATTCTGGACCCCGCCAGCCGACCTATCCCCCAAGGCGGCGTCTCTTCCGGAGATCACGGCAACGCTGGGAGAGCTAACCTACCCCGTCCCAGTGGGGATAGAGATGGTTCTGACGATGGCAAGGTGTTAGAAGAAGAAAAAACTGCATAAACAAAAACTTTCGCGGATCCGCGCGATTTGGGGGGATCTACGCTGAAAACCCCCTGGCGGCGCCTAATGTGTAAGCTTATGCGTGTGTTTCTTCTTCGAGGTGTGCAAAGTTTGCGCTCTCCGACCTGGAGGGCCTGGCCTGGCCTGGCCCCTGGAGGGCCTGACCTGGCTGTTCGTGGGCCCCGAATGGCCCTCGGGGTGCCTGGCCGCCGGCCCGGCGACGCCGACCTGGACCCAAGACCACGGAAGGGCGGCAGACCCTGGCAGCGGACTGGCGCGGCGGCGGCGATCGGGAGAGGGGAAGCGTCCACCACTGCAGCGCGACCGGATCATGAGGATGCGCGGTAAGGGTGCAGGGCCCCTGGACGCCCAAACAGAGGCCATTGCCCATGGCTGAGGGCCAAGACGGGCCGAGAGGTAAGGGTGCAAGGGCACGCTACGCATCTTTATGATGTGGTCCGACTGCTCGTCAAATCCGGCATGCGCGGACAAACGTGAAGAGGCGGGTTGGCGCGTGCCCCCCCTCCCGCCCCACCCCCCCCCCCGGGTGCGGCCCCCCAAAGCGCGCCCCCGCGAATGTGCGTCCCCCCCCGACGTGCGCCTACCCAGGGCGCGGGCCCTCCAAGAGCCAGATCCCCAGGGACCGCCCCCGATCCACCCAGCCGCGCGCGTCCAGGGGGAAACAAAAATTAGTCTGGCGAAAAGTCCAACCCTACGCAGCTGCGTGTAGCGTAGTAGATGCCCCACTTCTCGAAAAGCGGCGTACCGAGCAGGAAGTTCCCATAGGCGGACCTCCCCATGGAGCCATCAAGACAGTGAGGGGTGTACCGCGAAACGTGGCGGGTCCCGCCACACAGGCGCCATCACTGGGGCCGTGGGTGGCACTCCCCATGGGGCCGCAAAACGTGTGAGGGGTGTGCCGAAATGAGGCGGTCATGCCATACGGGCGCCCTCGCTGGCACCGTAGTTAGAGCTCCCCATAGGGGACACGAAACTCTTGAGGGGTGAGGGGTGTGCCGAAGTTACGGCATGTGAAGAGCAGCGGCAGGAGGAAGAGGAGAAAGGAGGGGGGGAGGTGGGGCGCAGCGCTGCGGATTCAAAGCGAGGACCCGAAGCTGAACGGGGCCGCTCCGCCTATCCCCGCTCTGACGAGGCCGTCAACGCACAGGCCCAGACATCGAACGTCGTGACTTTTGTTGTTCAATCCGCGGCCCTAGATCACCCGACACCCTTTCTCAGGGGTAGTTTCTCGTCCCGGATCCGTTCTCGACGGCCATAGGGCCCGATGACGGGCCCCAGAGGCCGACATCGAGGAGAAACGCCTGGATGGAAAGAGTCAGTTCTTCGCAGATCTGGGGGGGGGCCCACCTCCAGGACCCGCCCCTGACGCACACCGCCCGTCGACCCCAGGGAGGCCACGGCCGCCCCGAGGCTCTGCGCACCTCGGGCCCTCCGACCGTGGCGGGCGCCGCCGCTCTCCCGAGGCCGCCGCGGACGGGGGCACCTCGGACCCGCGCCTCGGGCGGCGCGCCGCCGGCCGCGACCGCCCGCCGCGCCGCTCGCGAGGCTCCCGGCGGGGGCGCGGCGCGGCGCGGCGGTGGGCGCCCGCCAGGCGGATGGCGAAAATCCCTCCGAGCCGGCGGTGCGGCTGTGGGCGCCCGCGGCGCCCGCGGCGCAGACGGCGCGGAGCTCTTCGAGCCGGGGCGGGTCCGGGCCGAGCACCGAAAGGGCTGCTGGGAGGCACCGCAGCGAGAAACCATACAAATCAACCACGGACTCCCATACTCATTCGATAAAGACTGCACACAGTCATATACAGATCAGACACGGACGGATTGGAATCCCATACAAGTCCGACACGAACTGTACAGGATCGATCACAGACCCACACGGAATGCGCAGGTACCTATAATGATTCGACACGGACTGTTTAAGATCCTACACATATATCCGACACGGACTGCATAACAACGTTAACAAATCCGACACCGATTGTATAGGATCCCATACAGATCCGACACGGATTGTTCAAGGTCCCATACAGATCCGATGCCGACTGCACGGGCTCCTGTACATGTCCGACACGGACTGTATAGGGCCCTATACGGATCCGACAAGGACTGTATGGGATCCGATGCATATCCGACATGGCGCGTACGGGACCCTATACAGATCCGACGCGGACTGTATAGGATCCTAGACAGATCCGACGCGGACTGTATAGGATTCGAAACCGTTCGGACGCGGACTGTTTAGGACCCCGTACAGATCCGACACGGAGCGCTTAGGATCCCATACAAATGGGATACGGAGTGTATAAGATCGGCCACACATCCGACATCGATGTTGTAGGATCCGATGTAGATCCGACGCGGACTGTCTAGGATTCATTCCAAATCCGACACGGACTGTCTAAGATCTTACACATGTCCGACAAAGACTATATAGGTTCCTATACAGACCAGGCATTGACTCTGTAGGAACCTATACGGATCTGACACGGACTGTATAGGACCGTTCACTAACCCGACAAGATTGTACAGGACCCCATACAGATCCGACACGGACGAATTAGGACCCCCGACGCGGAATGTGTGGGATCCTTTACAAATCCGACGCGGACTGTAAGGACCCCGTACAGATCCGACGCGACGGTTTATAATCCTATAAAGATCCGACACGGACTGCATAAGATTGTTCACACATCCGACACGGACTGTAAATAATACTAGTAGGGTCTGGCTTGGGATCTAGTCGAGGTCGTAATGAGAGTGGATGGGACCGAATGGGACCGAATAGGGATCATAGAAAATCGTATAAGGCCTGATAGGGGGGTATAAACATTATGAAACTGACTAGAGTTTGTTAGACATGGACTGGCATGGGACCTAGTCAACATGGTACACACATGGTGTGGGCCGTGGCAGGGACGGTGTAAAAACGGTATGGGAAATGCAAGGGATGGTATGGAATGGGGCATGATCGGGTGGATAAAGCACTTGTATGGGACAGAACAGGCTGGTACAGAAAATGGATCGGGTTTTACAAGGAAGGGTATACGGATGGCATAGGACCGAAATGGAATGGAAATTGTGGGGAACTGACTACGGATGGTACCAAAAATAATGGGACCTGCCACGGGTGGCATGGCGATTAGCATTGGATCGAATGGGGTTGGTACATGCATGGTATGGATCCTGATAGGGATGGTATAGGAACGGTATGGGGCCGAATGGTTGCGGCATTCGAATTTTGGGGTCCTGGCAGGGATGGCTTGGAAATGTCTGGGGCCTGACATGGGCGGTGGAGAACTGGTGTGGGACAGACCAAGGAAGATATAAAAATTGCACAAGGCCTAGCAACAACGGTATAGAAATGGTATGCGACCGAATAGAGACGGTATGGTATGGAAACTGGTTGGGATCGAGCAGGGATGGCATACTTGAGCCACATGGAACGGTATGGAAATTGTATGGGACATTATAAAGTTTGCATTGCAGCTTTTTGGTGCCGAATATGGGGGTACAGCAGGGATTCGAAGGGGCCCAATACGGACGGTATGGAAATTGTATGAAGCATTGCATGGGACCTGGCCAAGATGGCATAGAAACGGTATGTGAAATACGGAGGGTGGTAAAGAGTTGGTGTGAGACCTGCTACGGATGGTACTAAAAATACGTGGACCTGTGGACCGAGCCTACGGGACTGAAAGGAACGGGTATAGGAATGGTATGGACCTGGTTGGAAGTGCGTAGGAGCTGTATGGGCAAGATATCGGCCCTAGAAGGGATTGGAACGGTATGGGGCACAAAAGGGGTGGGATAGGATCTGTATGGGACTGGGCAGGGATAGTACACCAATGGTTTGGGACCTCGTTGGGACGGCATAGGAACTGAATGGAACCTGGCAGGGATGATAAAAGAAATGCATGGAGAGGTATAGCACCGCGAAAGCAATATATAGGATTTGAATGAACATGTAGAAGGACCATCAAGGAACGGTATAGGAAATTGGATGGGACCTCATAAAGCTGCGTTGAGTTGTGCTGGTGCGTTGTTCCCCCCCCCCCCGGTGCGCGAGCCTGGCCTTTATGAGCGACGTGTTTAGACTGTGCGCTCTTATCTGCTCGCGTGACACTAGACACGTATATCCCATACCCTCGGTACCTGCCCTCGCCGTATTCCATCGTGCCCCCCTAGGGGTATATCGCCCTTACCTGCCACGCGTATCTGGCCCAGCCCCTGAAACAGGGGAAGAGAGGACGGATGGAAGGAAGGGAGGGAGAAGGATGGAGCACGAGAGCGATTAACAGGAGTGGGGCTAGGAGCAGAATCCACGTGGCAGAACAAGACGGGAAGATCGGGCGGGTAGACCCTAACAGGCGGGTCGAAAAGGCGGGCCCAGGCGGCCAGGTCGAGCAGGCGGGGTGCTGAAGCGTGATTCCTGCATGAATCGCGTGGAAATCGCAAGCGATAGTGCGATTCCAAAGTAAATCGTCACAAAGGCCAGAGCGAGAGCATGATTCCTGAGTCTCGGGGGCACGGTGACGTAACAAAGCGTGAGGAAGTACGACGCGAGAGCGAGATTCCTGCATCAATTATGAGGAAGTGCTGCGAAGGAGCGCAATTTTGTGAGGACGTATCAGGCGGGGGCCGTTCTTGTAGTTCGGGGGCCAACAACCCAATATGAGTCGCAAGATTTTCCATGGTTATTATATATATATATATGAAAAAATTAAAAAAAAAATAAAAAAAAAAAAAAAAAAAAAAAATAATATATAATATATATATATATATATATATATATATATTATATATAAAAAAAAAAAAAAAAAAAAAAAAAATGCGAGCGTCAGGCGGAGCCCTTTAACTGAAAAACACCAGGTGCACCCTGGGGGCGATAAACAATAATTATCAATTAGAACTGGAAAATCAACCATTTAAAAACTATTCGCTCTTATCTGCTCGCGTGCCATTCAACACGCGTGTCTCAAATCCTCGGTACCCACCCTCCTCGTCTTCGATGGTAGCCCCCTTCGGGGCATATCTTTCCTACCTGCCGCGTATCCTTGGTGCAGTCGCTAAAACAAAGGAAAGAAGGGAGAAGGGAGGAGACAAGGGGGAGGGAGAAGGATGGAGCACGAGAGAGATTTGCAAGCAGATGGTTAAAAGCAAGAATACAAACGGCAGAACCAGACGGGCGGGTCGGGCGGGCAGACCCTAACGGGCAGGTCTGGCGGGCGGGCCCAGACGGGCAGGTCAAGCGGGCGGGTCGCTGAAGCGTCAGTCCAACATGAATCGCAAGTAAGTTTCGAGCGATAGCGCGATTCATAGATAAATCGTGAGGAAATCCAAAGCGAGAGCGTGACTCCTGACTCTAAGGGGCACGGCGCCGCAATAAATCGTGACGGAGTACCACACGAGAGCACGATTCCTGCATAAGTCATGAGGAATTCCCTCGAGAGAGTGCGAACTTGAAATGAATTGTGAGGAAGTAACAAGCGGGAGCCGTTTTGTTGCAGGTCGGGGCCCAACAACGCATTCTGAGGACCAAGACTTTCCAGTGTAAAAAAAACATGGTGCGAGCCCCGGGATGAGCACTTGAATTGAAAAACTCCAGGTGCACCAGAGAGGGGGGATCAACAAAAGCATCTTCAAAATGATGAGCCGACATTAGCAAGTTAAGAGTATTCGCACTTATCTGCTCGCGTATCACTCAACATGTATATCCCGAACCATTGGTACCTGCCTTCGTCGTCTTCAATCGCGCTCCCCTGGGAGTATCTCCCTTTTCTGCCACATGTATTTGGCGCAGCCCCTGAAGCAGGGAAAGGGAGGACAGAAAGGAAACAAGGGGGAGGGACAAGGATGGAGCACGAGAGAGAAAAGGAGGGCTAGGAGCAGAAAAAAGGTGGCAGAACAAGACGGGAAGATCGGGCGGGTAGACCCTAACGGGCGGGTCGGGAAGGCGGGCCTTGATGGCCGGGTCAAGCAGGCGCGGGTGCTGAAGCATGAGTCCTGCATAAATCGCGAGGAAGTCTAGAGCGATAGCGCTTTTCCAAAGTAAATCGTGAGAAAGGCCAAAGCGAGAGCGTGATTTCTGAGAGTCGAGGGCGCCGCGTCTGAATAAACCGCGAGGAGGTACAAGCGAGAGCGTGATTCCGAGAGCGCGATTTCGGAATAAATTGTGTGAGGACGTATCAGGCGGGAGCCGTTGTTGTGGTAAACCCGGGGACAGGGCCGCAGTTTGAGCCCGAAGTTTTCCCCTAAGAAAAAACAGGGTGCGCGCCCCGGGGGGGGCACTTCACTGGGGAGGGGATCAACAATAAATGACTCTCCAGAGGTGAAAATTCAATATCATCATCCACCTCCTCCTCCTCCTCCTCCTCCTCCTCCTCCTCCCCCTCCTCCTCCTCTTTCTCACTCCTCTGCCTCCTCACCGCCCTCCTTCTGCCACATTCTTCCTCCTCTGCCCCCCGCCGGTCACGACCCGCCTCCTGCCTGCCCCCATCCACTCCCCCTGCCGGAGAACACTCGAGCCTCGCGGCCGAGAGAGGGG